TCCGGCGGGCGCGTAGCTCCCCCTGTGCTGTCAGCTTAGGAATGAACGGATTCCTTGTCGCTCAAGGACGCCGAGTCCTCTTCGCCCACAAAGGAGATTTGTGTGGGGAAAACGGGAGGGTAAATGTTCTCCCATCACGTCCCTCGCCCTTTCTGAGGGAAAGAGAGGGTGCGCCATGAGTTTAGCCGAGTGACCTTGGTAAGCAATCCGTTCCGAGGCCGTTAGAGCTCGCCCCTCCCCTGTGCTCTCCCCTTTCTCAAATACTTCCGTCTGTCTCTGCTCAAATTTGCTATCCGGGTGTCCCAATTTCCAAAACGAATGAGGTAAAGTTTGCTTATATATATATATATATAAAAGAAAACTCTAGAGCAAAAGGACAAAAAGCGACTGAGAGACACGAAGCTCGAAACTCAACTTGAAGCCTACTGTCAAAATTAAAAAGAGACAATAAAAATAAAATGGTTACCAACGAAAAAAAAAAAGGGTCGATATAAATTTTAAGAAAATTGTTGGACTTGTTGGCGTTCCCTCAGAGCACCATTGAAGCTAACTAGATTATGCTTAAAAATAAACAAAGACAAAAAATCATGCCCACAAGAAAAAAAACCATTCACACAAACATGTGGGATCCGCTACATCGGTAGTCTAAAATATCAACGACATATGGGCGATCGTGCGTATGTAGCATGATAGCCCCACGTGCAGAATCCCTGTTCAAGCTTCAACCAGCATTGTTCCCATGACGGCATGATTACGTTACACACGCTCGCGTGCCCACTTATTGTCGCTTAATTAGAAGCAAAGTGCTCCGCCGTCACGGTGAGGACCCGGCCACCTTATCTGAGGATTCGCGTCATTCGCTCCTGATGAAACTGGCCATTTTAAGGCGGGGCAAAAGGACGGTGTGTCAGTCGTGGTCATTTCACACGGAGCTTTTGTCATCGGGTGCTTCCGTGCACCACCCGATCGTACATAGGTCATCAACATTCTGTAAAGCGGTCTCCTTCATAGAACTTCGAAGTCCACTGTAATAAGTGTTCGTGTGATCTTTTGCTGGATAAAACACAGATTCCGGGGAAGTAGAAAACCAAAAAAGCGGCAGAAAGTGTAAATGAGTATGACGGTTGCATGAGTGCGTCGTCACTCGTTTCATCAAATAAGGAATTCAGGTTCATTTGGGGTGAGATATAATAAAGTGTGTAGATATGTTCGTTTTCTTTTTTTTTTTTTTTTTCAAAATAAAATTTAGTTGTTTGTAGCGCTCCGAGTGTGCACGCCTACTTCTTTGTGCTCATTTCTTTTGCGCCTTTAAGTATAAGATTTTGCACCTAACTCACTTCTGGTTAGACTCGAAATCGAAACCAACATTGTCGTCTGCTATCAGTGCCTTGACGCCATGTTGGAGGCATTCTGCGTCTTATTGTGGCAGCGGTAGTGCCGTAGTCAGAGAGCCGTCTTTTTATAATCACATTTCAGAATATATTTTTTCCTAGTCAATTGCAAAGAGGTTCCTCATCTCACACGAAATGCTGTCCATAAACCCGTAGTTGGGGTAAGAAGATTGTCTAACATAATAATCTAGAGCGAAAGTTCCATGCATTTAGCCACGCCGGAATGGCGAGGCATAGACGCGTAGACATAGCGGCGGCCCTAGTTGGCGGTCCCGCTCGATGAACCCATTTTAGTTCAGGCGCCTTAATATGCACAAAGAAACAGCAAAACATATATAATTTCTGTACCACGCTATTTTCTTTTTTACTTTGCAGAAATATACCTGAATCGCGCGTTGACAAAATTAAACAAAGTTTACAAGCGCTCGAGCAACTTCAACTTCTGGAGGCAAATAAGCTAACACGCCTAAACCAGTCTATTTAAGCATGCTTCCAGTAATAAGCTAAAGTTATTTCCAGACTAAAGCGTGTTTCACATGCAGCGGTTTTGGCCCTAGAGCGGCGCGAGTTCTGCCGTCCCGGCGCTTTGGCCAGCACCAGCGGTTGAGCGGCACGAGCACCGCGACGGCAGAAATCGCGCCGCTCTAGGGCCGAAATCGCTGCATGTGAAACACGCTTACCACTGACCATTATATGCCACTGCGTTCTTGCAATGTCGATGAGTAGATTCTTCATAACCTTTATGTGCGCGTTTAGCGTGACATAAGAACATTGAAAAAGCGGGTTCAAAACTTCGATCCACGAAGTTCCTTCGGCGTGGCGCAAGGGTACTCCGGCAAGTTTTATGCTATCAGCTCCACTCAATATCGGTGACCTAAATTTTGGTCCCAAATCGTCGCTTCGCCTGTTATGGCTTATCTGTCGACACCTTTGTATGGTAAGGGGTACCAGTCCTCCTAAAAACGGTGCAATGTCCATCGTGCCCGCACTTTATCCCAGCCTGTCTTTAGCCAAAAAAATAGGTAAGCTTTTGTCGGTGAGCTTTTGTCCGGCTACCTAGTGAGCTCGTGCACAAATAGAAACTCAGTGCAACGTCAATTGCTTTCTCATAGAAACGCGGTTAATTAATCTTAATTCTCTTTTTTACTCGCCTTGCAATTTTTTTACATCTCTTTTAAGCATCTCTGATTGTTCTTCCCCACCATGGCAATCCCGTCGCTTTTGCTTTATGACATACCGCCCCCGACTACGTAATCTTTCAGGATTTTCATGATAAAATATATACCTGAATGTTAAGCTGGGGTCACACTGCTCATAAATCCTACGAAGGACGGTCTGCAGACAGGTTCGAACGCGAGTCACCGCGAGGTCCGTTCTTCGAATGCTGCAGGGCAATGAGTTCAAGAAGAAGCATGGCACGCGGCATTCGAAACACGGTTCTCGCGGTGACTCGATCGTGTCTGTCAGTGTCTTTTGTATGAGGTGTAAGCGGTGTGATCCGGGTTTCAATTTAGAATTCTGTCAGGTCTTTGGATCAAAAAGGAGCAAATCCTATTCGATAGTTCTCCTCATTTGTATTGTATCCAAACGTTTGCTTAGTAGACTTTTTCTTTGCAAATTACCTAGATCGGTCGCACAGATGATTCGGAGTGCACAGAATGTGTAATATGTGCGATAGGCTTAGTTTCCCTCGTAGGAATATTTTTCTTTTTTTTTTTTCTTTTTTTTGCCCACCTCAGACACCACACATCAAGTATACTCCGAATTTATCCTTGGGATCATGGTAAGTTTATTTTTCTTCTGTTGGCTGGGGTGCAGAAAAAACTGAGGTTCTGCCTCTTGCCTTTCACTGTGAGGGCTCATAAAGTCGGAAGTAGTAGTACGTGACGAAATGAAGCTCCTGACCTCGCCGCGTGAAGACACTGCGCCAGTCAGCCTAGAGGGGAGCCAAGAGGCTTCTATGCAAACAGGGCTTGTGCCCGTGCCCTTTTGGACAAGCACATAGAAGACAAAGATGTTGAGACAATTTAGGAGCCCCGTGTATTATAGCGAAAGCTAGAGCACGAGTTCATAGCACTGCAAGAGGATCTGGATGCACGAGAGCTCATGCAGCGGGATTACGTTGTTTCGCTTTTCCAGACTTCACTCTGCTGTGACAATCGCTCGCTCGCTCGCTCAAAATGTGTGTTAAAAAAAGAAAGGTTTTTAGGCCGCGGTGGAAGAAACACATTTTTCCTCCACCGTGCTCCACGCCAGACTCGTCAAACCAAACAGATCTCCAAACAGAAAGGAGCGAAACCAGGGCGCGCCATCTATCGGTTTTCTTTCCAACGAATTCCCGCGTCGACGAAGGAGCCACGCGTGCACTGATCGCTCTAATCCCCACCCCCGTTATCGGCCCTTACGCTTCCCTTAGCCTTGCCGCCGTGCCCGGCCTTCCCCCCTCTTTCGGCCTCGACACCCCTCCCGGCCCTTTCGCAGTGGTCGGCCTAGCCCCCGCACTCGGCAGTTCCGGCTCGCTCGGCCCTAATCCACGCTCGGCCCTTCCGCGAGGGTCGGCCCAGGGGGGATGCTGCCCTTATCAGGATCCTCCTTTGTGCCTCCTGAATTAGCACAGGCGTCGCTATTCTCCTCCCAGAAGATTATAGAAGATTAACCTGTCACTCAAAATTCTTACGAAAGCAGCTTCCCTCTCCTCCTTTTACTTGGTGTTCAAAAGTATGCGATGTAACACAAGCCGCGCTCAACGAGGCGATCGGCTTATCAGTAGTATCAATAGTCGAGCGCCGGGCCGGCCGAGCGCGTCACTCACGTCTTTCACGGCGCTGGCGCCACCCGTGCTCTCCCCGGAAAAAAAAAAAAAAAATTGAAAAAAAAAAAAAAAAGAAGCTGTACATGTTTGATGACGTCGCGGACGTGCCGGGAGAAGGAATTTGGAGGAAGCGGAAATGCAGCCGGGCAGTGTTGTCTGGCCCGCACGTCTCAACCAAAACCAGCGGATTCGTGCTTGTCAAACTTTGACAGCGATTTTAATGAACTTCTAGGCGGAATTTCGTCGTAATATTTGCCATGGGAGTTTGGTAGATGATAACAAAGAGAACTGTATAGTTTTGCACTACTGGAAAAGAAGCGGAGTTGCCCTTTAAACATCATTTTCGAGACGTCATCCAGTCTATTTTCTGCCTCTTCTACTATGTATGATCTCTATGCTTCTACGTTTTGATGTTTCCGACCTTTCCAACTCGCCTGCACCCTTACGATATTTTCACTTTAACGTCGTAAATGCCCAAAACATTTTTTTTTTTTACATTGATATTAAATGTTATTATCATGTCCGTCTATCCCTAAGAAAATTATGGATTTGTGTAGTAGAGTTAATTCGGGCAAGCTTGTTATTCAATATGTTTGAAAGATAGGTGTACGCCCCAGCCGCATCTTGTCGAAACGTAAAACGTTAATTTTTTTTTTTTTTTTTTTTTTAGCTGGGTTATTTTGTTGTAAAGGGGAGAGAGTTACTGGAAAGTAAATTGTTGTGATACTTCTATGACAGATGGCGCAAGCTACCGCCAAGTAGCCATCCGAAACCAACCCAAACGATCCATTCATGGAACACTGGAAAAGGCAGTGGGAAAAGGTTTGCCCGCGTGTGGTTCCGGTGTTGTCCGTGTTTCGTGGATTTTCTCGCAAACCTAAATCCCTAAATCTAAGTCAATAGGAAACCTTGTGCGTCCGCTGTAATGTGCTCGCCATGTCGTCAATGACATTTGGGCAAAAAACCTTCTCACCAAAGCCACCGGACAAAGGAAGCTTTCCCCTCGATCACGCAGGTATGTGTTCCCTGCTTTCAGACTAGGCAGCGCAACAAGTGCCTGCAAAATAAAGGCAATTTTAAGACTCGGTACCTACGGTGGCCACAGTTCGTGAATGAAAACATTAAAATCTAAACCACTAAAAAAAAAAAAATCAATCAAAAAGGTTGTCGTAGCGTGACACTGCAGCGTCGTATGAGCATGCATCGGTCTTCCCAGTCGTGTTCAGTACCTTGTCGAAACGTCTATTAGTAATTTTATTATTATATTAATACTATTATTATTATTATTATTGTGAGCATATGTTAACCGTAGCCATCTGTTATTCTTCCATCCCCTCTGCCGCCCCCGCTCCGTTCTTTCCTTCCAAATTTCTCCCCGCAACCCGAGTTCTCTAGAGCCAACGAGCCCTCGCCGTTCAAACCACCGCCCATTCTTCTCGCCCTCAGTTCTACCCATCGCCCAAATGTAAACACCAGCCAAGTCGACTCTGCTCGCAAACCCCGGCAGCCGACTTCTTCGCCGCAGCTGTAACCTTACCCCTCACCTCATAAACTAGCCTCGCCCTCGCCCCTGCCCCGAAGCCATCGCCACTTCGCCTCAAGATTCTCCAAGCCTGCGTTCTTCTCTTCCAGTTGCTTCCGCCCGTCCCACTGACTCTGACATACCTTCCTTCTCCCGTAATAAACAGCTATCTTAATCTTTAAACTTGTCCTTTCTTCCTGGGGCCTACCACCGGCCCTCACATCTGGCGCAGTCGACCCTTCGAACCTCAATTTTCGATCTTCATCGCCTTCGCCTCCTGAACAATGGAATACTTCTAGACCTTCGGTAAGCCTACTTCGCCATCTTACCCGCCATCGCCTACGCCCTCGCCATGATCCAGTGGGACCAAGCAACTCCAGTCGCCCTTCACGCCTTCACCGCCAATTTCCTCCGCGCCGAACTGGATGCCAGAGGACTGGATTCCTCGGGATCCAAAGATGACCTGGTCGCCCGCCTGTCTTCTTTTCTTCGAGACCAAAAGCAACAAGCGCCTCAGCCCCAAATCCCCGCGCCTCAAGTGTTGCCTCCCGGCACCGAGAATGGCGACACGGCACAGCCTACCGTCACGCCCGTGTCCACGCCCGACGTAATGCAACTCCTGGCATCGTGCCTGCAGCAAAACACCCAGCTTTTGGCCGAGATGCACAGCCGTCCAGTACAGGTTGCGACACTTCCAGATCTGAGCTCCTCCATTTCAACATTTGAGGACTCGAAAACTACCTCCACCAAGCTCTGGCTGGAAGAACTAGAGAAGACGAAACAGCTCGCCGCCTGGACCGATTCGACCCTTCGAGCGATCGCCATCAGTAAGCTTCGAGGTACCGCAAAGAACTGGCACCTCGCAGCCGGCCACGCCCATGCCTCATGGACTGACTGGAAGGCAGCCCTCCTCCAGCAGTTCAGCGACCAACTCACCCTTATCGAGTGGCAACGACGTGTCATGGAGCGCCTCCAAACTCCAACTGAGACGCTTCATCAATACACCTTCGCCAAATTGCGACTTCTCGCCCGATGCCCCGTGCTGCTCACTGACCAACAGCGGATCGAATATATCATCCAGGGCATCGCAGACAGGCAAGTCACCAATGCTATTGCTGCCCAGTGCCCTCCAAGTGTTGACGCCTTCATAGCGATTGTCACACAACTGGACAACGCGTCGCTACATGTTCGCCGGACGCGTGACCCGTTCACACGCGACGGAAATCGCAATTCCGACTCACGACCACCTTCCGCACAAATGCCCGGAACTTCAAAAGGCACTTCATCGCCTCGCGACTTCCAACCGTCGTCGTCCGACCGCTTCCCACGCAGAATTTCACACCTTCCGCCTGCTGAACGCGAAGCGCGTTATGACGCGATTGCCCAGCGATACAACGCTCCCGCCTATCGATCTGGCCAGGACATACGTGACGCAGTGTGTTTTCGCTGCCGGAACAAGGGTCATCTTTCTGCCAAGTGTCCCGAATTCCAACAATCCCGACCGCCGCCGCCGCCGCCGGCTCCATCGCCTCGCTCCGACAGAACATTCACGTGCAAATCTGGAGACTCTGAACTAAGTGGTTCGAAAATTGCATGTGCCATGGTCACCGCCGACGTCCGTGGTATAGGACATCTTGATGCATTTCCCGATAGCGGATCGAGCATAACCCTCATCTCCGCGAAGCATGTCAGCGGCTTACAGCTCCTCCCGTGGACAGCAGCTCCCCTCATCGTCGTCGGGGGTGGTACGATCACGCCCATCGGATCTGCTTGTCTTCGCATCTCCGTCGACGACATCTCTGGAGTTGTCGAAGCCGCCGTGCTTGAAAACAACCCCCTTCCATTGATTCTCGGAGACGACTGGCTTTGCGCTGCTCGCGCCGAGCTTCACGTCAAGCCACCAAGACTCCCCGAAATTCACCAGCCGCACCGAAAACTCGTCGTGCCATGTGTTGAGAAGACCCTGCCTCGGATGGCGAACGCCGTGCTCCTGCAGGAGACTGCCATTCGAAGGTGGCACGCTGCTCCGACAACGCCAACTGGGCTCCAATTGGAACCTATCCTAGAGGACCAAAAGCCTCTCTGGACAACGCTGGAAGTTCCCGCCACCACGCCCCCGCCACTCAGCGCGCCCAGTCAGGCTTCGCACGTCGCGACCCTTTGCGCCACCGCCACCCGCCAGCTCGTCGAGCCTCATGAGCAACCTACGCCTGCCTCTGCCACGCCCTCGTCAGCTCTGCCCTCGTCGTTCGTCCCATTGATTGGGCCCAGCCTCGACGAAACTGACCGAAACAAAATTCAAGCCATCTTGAACAGCCACGTGCCTCTCTTCGCCACAGACGAGCAAGACCTCGGCCTTTACATGGGGACGGAACACAGCATCGACCTGGTTCCTGGAGCCACCCCATACAGCCGCCAGCCATACAGGTACTCCTTTGACGATCGCCGATTTCTAGAACGTCAAACAGAAGACCTTTTGCAGAAGGGAATTATCCTCCCGTCGTCTGGACCCTGGGCTTTTCCAGTTGTTGTCGTCAGCCAACAGACCAAAAGGCGCCTTTGCGTCAACTATATTCCGTTGAACAAAATGACTGTAAACGTCGCACAATCCCTTCTCCGCGCCGACGACATCATGGAAGACATCGGTGGTTGTAGCCTTTTCGCATCGCTAGACCTGAAGTTTGCCTATTGGCAAATTCTGCTAAGACCTCAGGATCAAGACAAAACCGCCTTTATCACTCATCAGGGCACCTACAAGTGGACACGCATGCCCTTCGGCCTCAAAAATGCGCCCGCCACATTCCAGAAAGCCATGAACACCGTCTTCCAAGAACTCCGACCACGCCACCTCAAATGCGGTGTTCGCGTCTACCTCGACGATGTGCTGCTCTTCGCCACTAACATGACCGAGTTTTTTGACCTTCTTGACGAAGTCTTGACGCTTCTCCAACGCAGCGGTCTCAAGCTGTCGGCAGAAAAATGCCATTTTGGAATGGAATCCATCAAGTTCCTGGGTTTCATTCTCTCCAAGTCTGGAAAACTGCCGAACCCAGAGAAGGTGGACGCTTTTCTGAAAATCCCGACTCCGCGAAACGCGAAGTCCCTGCTCTCATGGGTTCAAGCTGCCAACTTCTACCGACGCTTCATCCCCGGGTTCTCGCACATCGCTGCTCCGCTTCACAACATCATTCGCACGGGCAACTTCGAGTGGACACCAGAGTGCGACACTGCCTTTCAAGCCCTAAAAACTGCCTTGACGTCGGCGCCTGTACTGGGTCATTTTAATCCCAGTGCCCCTACGACTGTCGCCACTGACGCCTCCGGCACTGCAATCGGCGCTGTACTGTCTCAGCAACAAGACGGCAAGGAAACTGTAATCGAATACGCCAGTTGGTCGTTGACCACAGCAGAACACAAGCTCCACAGCAACGTCTGGGAATGTATTGCTGTTCACTGGGCGCTCACGCAAAAATTCCGCCCATACCTTCTCTCCATCAAGTTCTCACTCATCACAGACAATTGGACCGTCACGTGCCTAACTACGTCCATGAAGCCATCCCGGAGATTCACGCACATGTTGATGGACTTGCTGGAATTTGACTTCACGGTCCATCACCGTCCGGGGAAACAGAACGTTGTAGCCGACATGTTGTCTCGCCTCGCCTGCGCCACTGTCCAAACGTCTGACCACCTGGCCCAGCTTCAACAGGAAGACGCCGAATGCCGCGACATACGGCAAAGACTTAGAGACGACCCAGCCTCTCTACCAGACTTTTTCGTGATTGACAACGTACTCTACTACAGCACGTCACCCCAGATGTCAGTCATCGTACTTCCCGCCAAAATGCGACACCAGGCACTCGAGCTGATGCACGACAGCAGCGGCCACATGGATTACACTAGAACACTGGCCAAACTCGCTGAGCGCTATTGGTGGCCCCGAATGCCGAGCACGACGGCCAAATACGTAAATGCGTGCCAGACCTGCCAGGCGTGCAATCGACCCACAACGAAATCGGTGGGGAAGATGGCCATCATGCCAACCACCTAGACCCCGTTCAAGATTATCGCCATGGACCATGTCACCATGCCAGACACCGGTAGCCATCGTTACCTGCTCAACCTGATCGACTTTGCATCACGATTTGTGGTTCCAGCAGCAGTCACTTCCACATCTACGAAGGAGGTCATCGCTCACCTCCTCCGGGTGTTCTACCGCTACGGAGCGCCCGACCACTGCCTCACAGACCACGGACGCGCATTCGAGTCGCACGAGTTTCTACGCTTCATGCGACTCCATGGCATCACCATTCACCATTCCGTGGCTTACCGCGCAGCCAGTAACGGCTTGGTTGAGCGTAGCAACGGCACGCTCGTGGCCGTACTTCGGAAGCTCTGCAAGTCGGATCCCCAGACTTGGGATACACGCCTTGAGGAAGCAGCCTTCGCCGTCAACACAACCCACAACGCATCTTCACAATTTTCACCCTTCGCCTTGCTCCACGGCTACGTCCCGAAAATGCCTCATCAAAAGCATCAGCCCAAAAACACGGAAACCATGCACGAGCGCTTGCTCAGATTATGCGCCGACCGAACAGACGCACTTCAGCGGAGTGAAGACGCCCAACTTTCACGTAAAGCTATCTACGATCGTTCTCACAGGGATGGTAGAGACTTTGAGCCCGGAGACATCGTATGGATTCGCCGCCAGCAACCCGTGCCCGACGGAATGGAAAAGCTGTCCCCCCGGTTTAAGGGCCTCTACGAAATCGTTGGGAAGCCCACGCCTGTGACATTCCGCGTTCGACAACTGCCCGCCTTCGGTAACACAAATTCCGCCAACGAACGCACGGTTCACTGCTCACAGGTGAAGAAATATTCGCCACCATAAGTAGACCCAACTCTCACAGACCCCCATGTCGGTGATGTATCAGCGCCATCGCCAACCCCCCTTCCCGACCCGACACAACAGGAGCCAGAACTCCCAACACTCGCGCCTTGCCCGAGCATCAGCAACTTACAAGACCATTCATCAAGCTGCGAAACACCCGCCGCTGAGTCACCGCGCCCCACATTCCGCCGACCCCGCCGAACACGCATTCTGCCCTTGCGCCTTCAAGATTTTGATGTATCCACAGAGTAGTTTCGCCATTTCGCTTGCCATTAGTTTTATAGCCTTATAGCCACGTTTCTATATAAGTACCCCTAGAATAGCTGCGCCTTTCGCTTAGCCATTTGTTTTATATTCATAGCCACGCGGACGTGGCCTATAGAAGCGGGGTGGGATGTGAGCATATGTTAACCGTAGCCATCTGTTATTCTTCCATCCCCTCTGCCGCCCCCGCTCCGTTCTTTCCTTCCAAATTGCTCCCCGCAACCCGAGTTCTCTAGAGCCAACGAGCCCTCGCCGTTCAAACCACCGCCCATTCTTCTCGCCCTCAGTTCTACCCATCGCCCAAATGTAAACACCAGCCAAGTCGACTCTGCTCGCAAACCCCGGCAGCCGACTTCTTCGCCGCAGCTGTAACCTTACCCCTCACCTCATAAACTAGCCTCGCCCTCGCCCCTGCCCCGAAGCCATCGCCACTTCGCCTCAAGATTCTCCAAGCCTGCGTTCTTCTCTTCCAGTTGCTTCCGCCCGTCCCACTGACTCTGACATACCTTCCTTCTCCCGTAATAAACAGTTATCTTAATCTTTAAACTTGTCCTTTCTTCCTGGGGCCTACCACCGGCCCTCACATTATCTTGAAAGCATCTATTTAGGAAATTTGAGTGCGAGAGCTTATTATTCTGGTAAGCTTAGATTGCAGTTGTGCTCGGTGTAAGTAGTGACGTTTTCATTATAGTTGCCCCTGCCAAAAACTACGATCTCAGTTATGTAGAAAGGTTCCGGAAACTTTGTGGTACGGTCCATAGCGGAGTTTGTTGCAGCTGGGTACGAACTCGGGACCAGGGGTTTCCCCAGGAATTGAAGGTAGGGGGGTGTCTAAATTTTGGGGGGGGTTTGGGGAGGGAGGTAGGGGAGGGGGGGGCGGGCGGGCGGGGGCGGGGCGGGGCAGGGCATTGAGAACAGAGGAGTAGTTGCGATATAAGGGGGTGTCTTAAGAAAAACAAGGGGGTGTGTACAACCCCCCCCCCCCCCTTCTCCCCTCCCCCCAGGGGATGTGTAGGAAAATCGCTGCTCAAGACAAACTTCCAGAACGCTCTCGCAAAGGCCTTCCACACCACGGAGACTGTACAGTTATTCCGGGCTTTTTCTGAGCGTGCGCTGGGAGCACCGCGCCCAAAAATGGCGCCTGGTGAATACCAAAGTCGCTGTATCCTGGGAAAGCAGTGTGCTATTGCCTTCCCTGCCTGCTCGCAGGACACAAACGGATACTAACATACAGACGACTAAAGCCTTGCAAGACGATTGTCTGAACAGTATCTGTTCCCATGGGAGTCGTCCTTTCCGTCCGTTGAAATCTTCCAAGCCTCGCAAGGGTCGTTCGAACCATCCGTGCCAAGGTTGCGACGATGCATCGTCGTACTGAAAGCATTCCTCGCAAATATAAGCGCCTTCAGCACTGCACGTGCAATCAACTCATCAGTCTGTCTTGTCTCCACAGATCTGTTACAATGATATTGTTCTTCGTAAACTTTTCACAAGCAGAACCATTTTTCGATAAACCAGGCACCAACCGCTTGTGACTGCTTTCGACCGGCTGCGCAGCAGTACAGCAGTTCGTAAGCAATCACTTAGCGGCTTAAAAACCGGTCGCAATGCAGCCGGTCGTAGTCAAACACTCTAAATAAAATCTGGACGTTAAAGAATTGTTGGGGGTTCTTCAGCTTGTCCACACTTTTCACCTTAAAAAGGTGTTCGTGGTGGTGGTGAAAAGATGTGCACTTGTTTCGCCAGCGTCTGGAAAATCAAATCTCGGTTTACTAGGGAGGTTTTTACAAAGAATACCCATTACCGCGAATTCGCATCGGCTCAGCGAGGCTGAGGACGTCAAGGAAAAGGTGCCAATTCCATGGATCGAAATGGCGACCATACAGAGACTTTGGCACTACTTTCCAAGGATTTATTGGCTTTAGCGAATACCGTTTACACCTGGGGTCTCCAACACGCAGCCGGCGATTCTGGGACGTGGCCCGCAAGCGTCCTGTGGCTGTGAGCCCCCGTTTCCATGCCTTGAGCGCTACATGCGCCATAAGTAATAGGTAGCTTCATATTGTCGATTCCTTTCCACTCAAAAAAGATCTCTTGTATAACATGTTCATACATTTCGCAATATTTTGTTTTCTTTTGGACTGAGAATTGCTTCGTCTAAATATTTGCTTCTCGACCCTTTCACCCTAAATAATTTGGAACGACAATACCACTAGACTGCATCCAGAGCTACAAGCGCGAGCTAGCCCGTGGTCCTCTCTATAAGACGTGCTGTTCTAACATGAGCGCTCGTTCTGTGGAAGAACGTTTCAAAGCAGTGACCTCGAGCTTGCATACTTGTGGCACTGGTTGCAGTCTCAGCTCAAAGGGGCACTGTGCTTTGTGAGATACTCATTTTCTAGTCATAACTCAATTTACAACCTCTAAGCGTTCTAAAAACCCGGAAATCTCATTTATGCCAGGCCGATTTGCATATTAAAAAGTTATAAAAATTCCTGACACCGTTGGTGCAGAACAGATGGCACTACCGAACCTTGCTGAACATGGTCAAGCGATGGACGGCACTTGTCAGCCAACTGCTCGTTCATGCGAGAACCCATCGCTCGCAAGTGGCTGACAAGCATCGTCTGTCTTTCAACCATATTCAGCGAAGTTCGGTGGCGCCATCTGTCGTTCAGGCCATCGGCGAGTGTCGGGAACTTCTATCACTTTTTAATATGCAAATAGGCCGCGCATAAATGTAATTTCGGGTTTTTCAGGATGCTTAGACCGCGTAGATTGAGTTAGGACCATAAAATTACAGGGAACGCTTAAGTTTCGCCTTTAAGAGTTGAGTGCGATAGCTAAATATAAATCCCCGCTCGTTCCCAAGCATGTCCGCATGGCCTAGTCAATAGCGTGTCTGGCTTGCAACCGAAGGGTCGAGGGTTCAATCCCACCCCGCCTAGAATTATTTGAATATTTTTTTTTAAGGCAAGTGAATCAGTTATAGATTAATCAGAATTTTCTTGTCCCACCTACACTGACGCCGACGCAAAACTTTTCTGCGACACGAGCACCCTGAAGCTGTCGCTTTAAAACAAGGATCTCAAAAAGCACTTTAGTGCCCCTTTAAGGGTGAACAGAGTATAGGCTATAAGCGCTAGCTTTGCTCAAAGAGGCACACCAGCTGCATGAACCTTTGCTCAGCAGGAGCCCCTGGCCAAAGATAAAGCTATCAGCTTGGGCTTCTGGCCGACAGAAGATACCTCGAAAATACAGTTCTTTTCTTATTAGGGTGCTATAGAAATTGTTAAGGAAGGAAGACCTTCCGTATAACTGAAAGATATTTGTTTCCATGACTGGTTACCCTTGTGAATAGTGCAACAGGGCAATGACAGTGTGATTGCTCTTGTTCCATCGAAAACTGCCAGCACATTGACAATTAAAATCTGGTTATCACATCGGGTTTGGGCCTACAGTATATGTCTATGTAAATCAAGGCTAAAGATGTCACTGGAAAGACGGCGAGCTTACAAGAAAGAAAGCTCTAGAAAATATCTGGGGTATCCCTGGGAGTGTCGGCTATTTTGCAATGTGAAACACCATTGCCCTTTTTTGTTTCTCCTAAGATACCAAATTATACACCCCCCTACCCCCCCTCTTTCCCTCCTTGGCCTTCGACCTTTTGGGGGTAGGGCATATGTGGCCCCCACCTTCAGATGAGTTTGAGACCCTTATCTATACTATGGTGCCTGGAACACTTCTCTGACTGGTCTGTTTATCACGTCCCAAAAAGTGGTCCCTTGATTTTCGCCAGGATGACGTCGTCAAAGCGTCATGCTGTGGCCGACCGCAGTCAGGGCAGTCGCACAGCAGCAGTGGCAGATGTGGCAGATGCACTATTCTGCTGCAGGTCACTCTTTAACTCAGCAGTGAATGAAAGCTTCGACAGCCAGGTCTTGGGACGCCACGGTGACAGTGACACTCATGTTCCCACATGGTTTCTTGTTTTTAGAACTTGCACGCCCACCCACCAGGATTGCGACATCCGACGGCATGGCAATCCGGCTACTGTGACGTCATTTGTTGACACTTTGGGACAATTTTCGATGCGTGAAGGAATAGGATGCTAAACAGATCAGTCGGAGGCGTGCTGCAGGCACCGCACCTATGCAGTGACGCTTAAAGGGCCTCTTTTGTGATGAAGGTGACTGCAAGCAAGGCGTCCTGAAGTACCTCCTCTGCCTGAAAGAGCACGACAACGACGCCGAATCCTGTCGGCATTTGGCCCAGGACTACCTCAAGTGTCGCATGGACAAGTAAGTTTTGTGTATATTTTTTTTATTTCGACACTGCAGAAGCGGAGTAATTTAGATTAAGGGGTTTCGCTGACATTGTATGTTTGTGAACGTGATTTCAATGACGTCAATGTAAATGATTTTGATTTTAAACTTTTGATGGCGTTGATGTTAATTATAGTGATTACGATGCTTTGATGTCAATTCGATTATTTTTTTGTGCTCAAACTGGTCCTTCACACTGTTGCCTGCTGTTAAAATGGGCCGCTGCCCTCGTCGGAAGGCTTTTTGTCTTCTATTGCCGCAGCCCCTCAGACACGTGTATGTCTGGAAATAAAGGTTAAGTCAGCAGTTCCCAGATGGGTATATCCATGGATAAATGTAGCCGAACAAGTAGGATTCTGTTGCCCGGTCGGCTAGCTTCTGACGAAGCAGTTCTGGTCTGGTACAGACCACGGCTGACCACTCAAAACTTGACATTTTGACCTCGTGACAAACGCAAGACGGATGATGCTGCAAGCAACGTTACTAGATCAAGGTCACGCCTAACACCCGTTCATGGTGCGTCCGCTCGGTCGCCCTTGCTACGCTATCGGCCCATACGGATGGGCAGAAGCGACAAAACCGGTGGAACATTGGATGCACACTGCCTGTAGTGGAAACTGATTCTTTTGCAGTTTTTATGGTGAACATAGCATTTGAACAAAGATTTGCGCAACAAGTGTGTTGTACAAAAAAAGGTTTTTCTCCGTCACCCGTGGGAGGCGGTGCCGCTGGAGGTGCTGGGAACACCGTCCGCCCTTACCTGCTTGCGTGCGGACGAGAGAAGGACTGTTTCCGAACAACATTCTTCCGCGGAGCCTGTCAACTGATGGATCTACGAAAATTGGCAGCAAAGACATAACTGAGCTGGATTAGCCGGCAGCTAGGTCATTTGTTCACTTTTGACTCGCAGCTAATGTCCGCAACGGCGGTTATATTGTGATGAATGAATTTCGTACTTGGACTCATTGGCTGTAGTGCTTTTGCTTCGAAACAGCGGGATCAGGCAAAGGGTCACTTGTGGCGGGCAGGATGCGGCTTACTCGCACGTGAGAAGTTTGGGCGCCTAGGGATGTTGTACTGCAACCTTTTATTTTCGGTGCCAAAACCTTGAACTTTGTCAAGGTGGGTTATATATATGATTTTCACATTTTTGTATCGGTGAAGTTTGGAGCCTGTTTTCTTTCAAGTTTTAAGTTTGCTCGGAAATTTAATGTTTCCTGGACCTTATGCCTCAATTGGATTAGCGTCCGTATAATGTCTTTACCTTTTCAAGACAAGTGCGCACTGATTTTGTACACGTCTCGCTTTCTTACTGCCTAGAACAAAGGAAAAAAAGAAAGGATTGCTTGCTTGGCAAAACAGGACCCAAAACAGCATCCACTTTTTGCACCTCGCTTGGTCTTACCACTTGGCTGCATTATTTCAGGCATGTCATCGCTTAGAGGGACACTAAAGTGTGTTTTAAGACCCTCGTTTTATGGTCATAACTTAGTCTACGAGCTCTAAGCATCTTAATAAACCCGAAATTGCATTCATGCCCGGCCGATTTGCGTATTGAAAATAAAAAAGTGATCAAAGATCCCGACACTTACTGTTGGCGCAGAACGACAGATGGCACTGCTGAACCTTGCCGAATATGGTCGAACGACGGGTGGCGTGTGTCAGTTACTCGCAAGCGGTGGGTCCCTACGTGGACAAGCGGCCGACCAGTCCCGTTTGTCCACGCGGGAACCCACCGCTCGCAAGTGGCTGACAAGTGGCTTCCATCAATCGACCATAATCAGCCAGGTTTGGTAGCACCGTTTGTCGTTCTGCAACAACAGTAAGTATCGGGATCTTTGATCACTTTTTCAATACGCAAATCGGTTGTTCATGAATGCAATTTCGTTTTCTTTTATTTTTAGAATGCTCAGTGCTCGTTGGTAGAGTCATGGCTGTAAAACGAGGATATCAAAACGCACTTTAGTGCCCCTTTAACTCCTCGAGTTTCCGGCAATCTTTTTCCAGTTTCAAGAGGTCCTTTAGACACGCGAAACTTGAAATCATTAAATGACATAAAGAAATTACTTGTTGTCTGCACGACATTTTAAAAAAAACGCCGCCCTCTGTCATAACATCAGACACCGTAGACCAGCGGTTCCCAAACTGACGCCAATGCATAAGTTCATAAACTGTAACTCGCCGTGTCCTCAACGATCAGAAAATTGCCTGGGGGACACGGCAACAGTCACAGCTCCTTGGCGTATAGTTTCCCTTTTCAAACACTTATTAGACATATTTTTTGTTCCCTTATTTTCTTCTCCTTGTAGTCAGCTGATGGCCAAGGAAGAATGGTCCAAACTCGGCTTCCAAGAGCCCACATCGAACTAAAGGAGCCAAGATGGCAGAAGATCGTGAGGATGTCCCCAGCGAGGTCCCTCAGCACGCCGACCTCGAGGAGAAGACTGAGAAAGAGTTGTCTTTCCGCGATGCCATGGCCATCGCGGATGCAAAGATTCATGCACTGATCAGGTGTTGTATATATACCTTGCTGCTAAAACAATGAGCATTTGTCCGTGACCACATTCATCCTTTCTTGACCGCCTCCCCCCCCCCCCCCCCCCCCCCCCATCCCCCCCAAAAAATCTACACTGTTCAGATGTCTGGTACGCAGTGCCGGGAACTAGCTTTATTAATTTTGTGATAGGGTGTAAATCCTGCTAAGTAAAGGATAACATGTTTGTAGAGACGTGACCATAACATGATGTAGTTTAAAGACTGGTCTGCACAAACTTATGTGGAATGTAATCTCAAGCTGAGCATTCCAGGTCTTTGTTTCCCACGATACGCCAGGTTTAGTGGAACAGTACCGACGGGCAGAGACTGAATGTTTTCGGCGTAAGCAGTCGACGTACGAACTGGCTAGCATCGGAATGATGAGAGAAAAAATATGCTAAAATTCACCTCCAACGCTTTTTTTTTCCTTAGTGAACTTTTTATTGTAAAACCCTAAGCGAGGGCCAACTCGAAATTGGGAGATAATCGTGTAAAACTGCAGGATGGGCGCTTTTTAGGTCAGCAATGTGTAACGATATCTCCTTTGTGTATTTGTGAATGTTGCAAAATTGAGGGGGAGGCGCTCATTGTGGAATTGGCGGATGCTCAATATTTTACCGTAGCTTTTCTTTTCTTTTTATGGGGGGGGGGGGGGGTACTCTTGGCAATTATTTTAGTTACCCAAACTAACTACATTTTCTAGATACCCGGCACTTGCCTTTTTTTCCGGTGTGGTATTTAGTAGCTGTAAATTCAGAATAGTTTTCGCGAAATCTTCAGGTGACGACGATGCCAGAACCAACATTCAAACAACCGTGCCTTTCACTGCTGCAAAGTCACTGGCGGGCTTGCAAAACCAGCAGGCAGGCTAAAAAAGGCGGCATGCCACGCATTTGTTTCGTGCTGCTGCGCAAGTTTCCAGAGCCTTCATTTGACATTATCAAACCTCGTAAATCAAATGGGAAAAAATTTTACTGTCCATAGAGCGAAGCCGTGCCTGCTGCTGTCACTTTCTCGTTGTTGCCCGTAAAAAGTTGGAGCTGAAAAAAAAATTCAAAACTAAATCAAAATTATAAATTTAAAATTCAAATTCAAAACATTTCTCCTGTTGTTTGGATTACTAGTTTAGCAACGTTTGTTGGTATGGCGAGTCAATATCGAGACAAAACAAAGACCGTGAAGTAATCTTTGCATATTTAAGGCAATAAGCAGCCGAGCGCTTTAACACACTGCAGCTCGGAGGGTGCGAAGTGAAAGCTTGTGCCGCAGAACCCAGGGGTCTTGCATTCAATCCCCACCCCTGCCCGTTTCGATCTGGATGAGCATCGCACCGGCATGCAGTCGTGTTTTACCACCACACGATACACATCAAAGACCCCAGGCTAGTGCTTGTACTACACTGGTAAAATATCTCATCCACCGCATACACCAGTGTTACAACACCTTGAAGGCAGACCGACTTTATGCCATCGAAACACAGACATCTAATTGTTTTAATTCCTTTTTTTAAGGAACAGTTTTACGAGCAACACTTTGCAGAGATTTAGAGTTTGCACCCCTATGGAAAATCTTTTCTCTCCGCTCGTGGCGTGGGGCCAGGGATGTGGAGTTTTCCCTTCGGCCGTGCAGTGCGGAAAGAGAGAGGAAAGCCCCGGCATCCCGCCACTAACGACACGATGAAGGGAGAGTCTTCCGTGCCGTCTGCTTGAAAGACTCGTCTGCAAACATTACTCGCGTTACGTGAAATCGCATTTTGGTAACATCCAGTTGCTACACGTAATGTTTGATGGTTTAAGAAGCTTTCACTGCACTTACCCACTTACCTCACGGACCATCGAGCACTTATGGCAGCCATCAGCGACATTCACGACGGCTACAAGAGTTTTTTGTGAACATTTCGTATCGAGTACAGTGACGTCTCGTTAACATGGACACCTCCGTTCCCGTTAAAAATCGTCCATAATGTGAGTTGTCAGTATTAACGAGACAAAAATGCATGTATTTTTCCAGTTTGTCTCCGAAAGTTGTGTCCATATGTCAGGGTATCCACACTAACGGGGTTCATGTTAACGAGACGCGACTATAATTGAGCTTACGTGGCTTTCATGCCATCGCAGCAACGACCCTCTCCTGAGCAACCTGCATCCGGAGGTGACCGTGGAAGAGCTGAGGTCGTACCTGGCGCTCGAGCACGGCCAAGCCATGTCGCTCAGGGTGCTGAGGGCGGACGGCGATCCCTACACGGTCGTGGTCGAGCAGAAGGCCACGGTCCTCGACCTCAAGAAAGCGCTGCAGAGGCACGCCACCCTCCGCATGGTGCGTCCGTCGGTTCGGGGGATTGTGCGTGGCAAAACTATGGGCCGGTGCACCGGAACTGTTTGTTTTTTTCCGTGCCTTGTGCGCCCAATTGTTGGGGTCGCGACCTCCGACAGCATGACACTCCGGCTTTTGTGACATTGTTTGTTGCCCCTTCGGGACCACTTTTGACGCGTGGGTAGAATAGGACGCTAAGCACGCCAGTCGGAGACGTGGTTAGGCACCGTGGTGAAACCAAAGGCTCGGCGCTCTTTCCTAATAAAAATATTTACAAAATGTCCCCCACCACTTTTTTTTTTCTTTTTGTTGCAAAAATTAATTTTGCATTACAATTGCTCGGTTTTCGGCTCAAAATATAGTGCCTGTGGTCCAAACCAGATGACAAGGTTTCAGGGCTTGCCGTCACCGGGCTGTTTTTTTTCCGGGATGCACCGTAGGTTGTTGTGCAGTGTACAGTGTGTCCCAAGAAAACGTTTCCAAGGTTTTACCTAAAGCGCCTTGGCAAAACTCAACTTTGTTACTACTATACCGACAACCAGTGACTGTGAATGCATGAGGCATTTGCTTTCAAGGCTGCACGTGGCACTGGTGCGTTTGACGCCTCTTGTAAGACATGCTCAAACACATCAAAAGGCTTCAAATTTTTTTTTTTTTTTTTTACCGAATTTTTTAATGAATTACGCGTCGCAGATTGGTCACTCTTCACTGGAAAGTAGCCAATGTCGAAGGCAGGAAGCGGAAATTTCGGACGCAAGTTACGAGCGGTTTCTCGAAAATGGCAGACGGGCCACTGTATTCCTTTGGCAACAGATGTAAGCCGACTAGTCGACACCGCACTTTATTGATGGATGTTGCTGCCATCTGTTTCTACGACAGCGCAACCAAGAAAAGCTTGTCAGTAGGACAAAGAAAAACTCGTCAGCAAAAAAAAACAAAAAAAAAAACAGTATTATTCTTTTTCATCGACATTTTTGTTTTCTTTTCATCAATCTTTACAACTTTGTTCTATGGCTCAGCGACATTGGCTTTTTAGGGAATCATAGCTTTTGCCTCATCTTGTGATCCAGATGACATCACAAACTCGCAACTTTCGCATTCTATCGTCACCACTAGCATTACGTTTGTGCGAAGTTCCAGCCTTCCAGGACGCACAGTTTATTTGTGCCAACCAAAAAACCGGGCTAGTTTGCTCTGTCGAAACTGGCTTCGTTAAACTGCCATGTCACAAGCTTCCCGCTTTTTTTTTTTTAATGTGTTTTGCAGGCAAGAAAAGGTGTGAAGAGAGTGGTGAGCTGGAGGTACATTTGGAGAACCTACTGGCTGTCCTTCGAAAGTCAACCCCTGAATCAGGACAGGACGCTGCTGCGAGACGCCGGGATCCGTAACAACAGCGAGCTGTGCTTCATCAAACGACGCCGGGAAAGATAGGCACCGCCGGAGGACAGGAGTGTGCCTCTGTCGTGGTACAAAGTGTGTCGCAGCGTGCATTTCGGGCTGTGCCACCGAATCAGAGAGGACACTTTTAGAGTTCCTATTTGCCCGTTTGCTCGGAAAAAAAAAAAAAAAAAAAAAAATTAAAGGATGCGTATCTAGAGTTGGAAACGCTGTGTACGATGCTGCAAGTGGTTTTTGGAGTGTTTGAAAAAACTCCGCTCAGTACTCTCGTAACTGGCTACAGCCAAACGTTCTCATTAAGAAGTTTTTCTGGGTCGTTAAAATTACTCTTTTTTCGAGATCGAAATTCTTTAAAGACTATAGAAAATAAGGGCTTCTTCCCAAGAAAAAGTTGAGGAAAAAACACCTGAATAGGGCGACGCGTTCCGAGAGTTCCACAACAGGTCCATATAATCTTGTTCAAAACTCAAAAGTGGCAGACATCGGGTTCGCCCGAGGTTGGCCACTCTGTCATTGCTCTTTGTGTCAGTTCACCATGAGACTTGCTGTAATGACATGGATGCAGCAGTGTGAACGATACTGCCACTGTTCGTGCGGTGGCAACACTGTACACTCCTCATTTTGCCCCAACGAGGGCGCATGTCTAGTTTGGCTAGCTCGAAACACCACGATGGCTCTCCCTTCCTGGCACAGCACCGCAGATAATGTCGCGCAACTACTCGTCACGGAGTGGCATGGACAGCATACATTCGAACCACTGTGCTTATTGCGGCAGGACCGCCTGCTTAATGAACATGTCCAATCCTGCGATAAATGTTTCCAAATATGGTAGTACGAGTGCATTTGGAGACCCATCAAAATTTACTATTGCAGATGTATGTGGTAGTCCCGCCATGCGTTGGCTCAGCCTCATGATTCCCCGTGCCGTGTGGCGAGATTGCTTCCAGACCTTGCGCGACTTTCCGGAAATGTCTCATCTGTTGTGCAAGAGTCCGAGCCGCTTCGATTGCATGCAATCTCTTGCACGCAAATGACGGCGCTGCCACCGTTTCGCCATTTTCATGCGCAGAAGTCAATCCCATGCAATTTCTCGCAAGATTACGGAAACAGAAGCTGCGGCCATTGTATCGCTATTTTTATACGACATTTGACGGGACAAAGGCGAACTATCAAGCCCCAACCTTTGGCGGCACTCGCTTTATTGAGACTTTAATTGTTGCAAAGTAAGGTGTTCAGCCCGGGAAACAACAAACACCGACATTTACTTTTCCAATGCTGATGCTGAATACTGCACCAATGTGAAGGTCAAGAAGACGTAACGCCCAGCAACATCACGTTTGTCACTCCCACGTCGATCTCTGTATGATAGCACTCAATGGAAATCTCCAATCGCTGCACAAAGCACGGAGTGCCAGTTTTCAGAGGCCATTGTAACGACCACAATGTCTTTATTACGGTTCCGCAAACAGTCTCGCAAAGACCCAAATGAGAGGCAGTAATGCATTACCTAGGCAACTGTTTTCGGAAGGTCGCACAGTCACACTTTGCACTAGGATTCGACCAAGAGGTAGAAGGCATGGGCCAACAGCAGGACGTTGCAGAGGTGCTCTCGGTTGACCGAGCTCTCCTGGAGGTAGGACGTCCTCAGCCCCTTCTCGATCGCGAAGGCGCCAGATTCGAAGAGCCCGTTCAGCGTCTCTTGGCCGGATATCCTCTCATTCCCGACGTTCAGCTGAAACAACTGGGTAACAGCGGCCGACTTGATGGAAACCACCTGAAAAGGTCAGAAAAGCGGGCAACCGCAGTTCGACTCGGCTAGCACTGTAAAAGCCATGCATGGCTTGCACATTACATCGTCGCGTTCGGCTGGTGGACATTTCTACTTGTTCTCGCCGAGAAAAACAAGGTTGCAGAATGCAAAACGTATGCACCAGAAGGTAGGTGCTCGGCAGGCAGACCACCACAATGGCCGTCGATGCGACTTCTGTGCGAGCAGTGCATTGGAAAAACAATGTGCTCGTTCGTCGCGAGCCGAAAGTGTCGTCTCCGGGATTTTATTGAAAACTTGCATTGTCGTCCGGAAAAAAATTACTAGGAAGTAACTGTTGGTTCTTCGTTCGTTTCAATTGGGAGTGTAGCTCAAAGGTGCCGAGTAGATTGAAAAGGAACCAGCCATTAAAGAAACACCAAATTCTGCAAAGAAAATGTTCTTTTTTTTTTTTTTGTAACACGGCACCAAAAAAAAAAAAAAAAACTTCTCCCATTGCCAAAAAAGTAAAAGACAACACCTGTGTCACGAAATTCGTTTTGAGCTGGGAGCGATTCCAAGACATTACTTATATTTCGAGATGTCTACCCTGAGATGGGGAGCATCAGTGGCCAAGCGAGCTAGCGCACATCAGCTCGGAGAAGGTGGAGCAAAAGCTTTCGCTGCAAAACCCATTTATCCTGGATTCAATCCCCACCCCTGCCCATTTCAATCTGGATGAGTATCATACCGGCGTGCAGTCATGTATGTATCATTACTGCGTGGTCCACGTTAAAGACACCAGACACCCACTGAGGCAGACTAACTTCCTGCTGCACAAACATTCACACAACCAATTTCTTTTATTTATTTTTTTATTTCCCCCTTGAAATAGGTATTATGCAGTTTGGAATCGTAAGAGAAATACTGCGCTAGACATTTTCTCCTCTTTTTTTGATGGAAAACATAATTTGTGACATGAGCATAATTTGTAACCATAGAAAATTTTTTTTCTTAGTTGCCACCTTCGACCGAGCCAAGTTTGCTCTTCGCCATTTCCAGAAAACTAATGGTCACCTTAGCTAAATTACGGCGGCGGAGCGGGCGAACCCGGTCTTTGAGGTTCACAATAAAGTCGGTTTGATCTGTCGAGCCCTCAACGTCGTTCGAATTCGTGTCTACGCTCGGCATCCAGCCATTTTGTACCACACCGTCGAAGCCATCTCGGCTTTCACCGCGCCGACGCCGGTTCGAGAACACGGCCGCCTCTCCCGTCTCGTTTGCACTCTCGCGCAAGGGAGACGCGGAAGAACACCGTAGGAGCTACGCTAGGCTCGACAACATAGCACAAAGCGGTCGACGCCGGGCATATTGCCACCTCCCATCTGGAGTTGATTTTCCCGGGACGGAGCGGAGAACGGCGTCCATTCGTCACTGAAGCACACGAGTCGGCCTCGTACTACGACGCCCGGAACGAGCGTCCCATTCTGCCTTCGCATCAAAACCGTCTCGAAGCGGTGACGGACGACGTCGAAAAGACTGGAGCGTCGTGCCGTCGGATGCCGCGATTCCGAAAGTCGGGCGTAGAAGTTCTGGAAAAGCACGACCGGCGACGGGGCACGACGACTACTGGCCGCCGGAGCTTCCGCTGACCGTCAAGCTGGAGGGCGACCCGCTAAACATCCACAACATCCGCTGCGACACTGTCGGGATCATCGCAGTCGACCACGGTGCGACACTTCAACGATGATGTCGTGTGGATATCGAGAGACCGCTTTTGAGGACGCGGTGAACGGACCGGTCTAGGACGTGTTCTGGAAACCGTGCAGGCATGGAAACATCGCGACGCCAAGAGGTTTAGCAGATGGCCCCGCCCCTCACCTGCGGCTGGTGCTCCTTGCCGTGGCTGAGAAGCGCCACGAGCATGGCTTGAATGGCCAACTGCGTCCGCAGGTGCAGACTCTCCGAGCTCTGCTTCTGCCTGGTCGGGCGCTGCTCCACCACGTAGAGGTCTGCCACCGGGAGTGACGGAAGCACCTCTTGCACCTGCTCCGACATGCGTAAACAAAAAGAAAAAAATATTGCCGTAGCTTATGCGAGTTATCAACATTCGTGGAAGGGCGGAGCAGGAGCCGCGCAGGAGAGGGTGTGGATGAATAGATGAATGAATCGGCATCGGATCAAATTTGGGGATTTTACGTGCCGAAACGACAGACGGCGTCTGGCACCCCTTGACAAGGGACCAGGATATGTTTGGACCGCGTGGGGATCTTTTCATGTCCAGCCAAAATCTCGACACCTTCTCTATTTTCCACACTCAAAATATATACTGGGCAAAGGGCGAGGAAGAAGACAAGAACGAAACTGAACCGTGTTTACATGTGGAAGTCTAGAAGCTGTCGAAAAGAAATTTAGATGCATCCTAACGTGCGATCAATCTGTCCGATGACACGATTGCAACAAACCTAAAATGCATTGTTTTTAGATGATGACATTGTTTGATTTTATTACTTCAGAAACACGCAGTTATCTTGTGTATTCACTCACTGGACAGTGCACTGCTGCCTAGGCCACTTGGCTGTCGACAGGCACTTAATCAAATTATCTATCTATCCTAATCCTACAGATAAGGTAGGGAGACAGAATGTGCAGTGCGCTGCTTGCTCCTCCCCCTCATTAACGCATGCCCCTACCCATCTTAAAATCCACCACGTCGCATCGTAATGAACGATCTAGAAAAAAAAACAAAAAGCCTTGTATATACCGCACCCACAGATAGTCTGTGATACATAAAGCTTCAACGTTTCAAATGCATATATGGTATACGGAATATGGTCCATAAAATGCGGTATCCTTCCCTCCACCTCTCCAAGGTCTACGTTTGCTTCGCTGTCATTAAGCCCGGATGCATTTACTAGTCCAGTCTCGCGAGCAATGGAAACGAGAGGGCCGTCCTTTCGCAATGGCTAGCTTCGCTGCAACTTTTTCAGCCCCTGTAAGCAAATTCTATCTTGCGGGGACTTGACCAAAAAAAGAAGATAATCTTTTCTAAAACCGATAATCCAAACACGACACCCGTGCGCGCGACCCGTCGTCACGTTTACGCTTGTCCGTACAAACGCATGAAAGATATTTCTTGGCTGGTTATGAAATAAATGTCGAGTTTGGGTCTTCCGTATGACAATACCCCGGCCACCATTTTTTCAAAATGTGTGCTTATTGACACACGTTAGAAAATATTTCTGGGGGCGGTTAACAGACATGAGGCTGAGTACATTTCTCCGACGCAGCAATTACGACAAGTCTCTTATTTCTACATGGGCACACGCCGAAATAAAGTCGTCTCTGTGAAATGTAGGGGATTTCTCCGTCGAACAAGAACACCCAGATGCGCGCATTGCTACACATCCGCAAAACAATTGAATTTCGGTCTAACATTTCGAGGAACTTCCTTATTGCTCAAGGGGACCATGGATGACCCCACCGACGCCGAGTCATCCAAGCGACGCAGTTTTCTCTCTGAGCCCTTTTGTCAGAAACAATGGCCATTTCCTCGTTCTTAGGTCCCGCGTATTTTTAGAGCCATGTCGTGCCCATCCATCTGTCCGCCCGTCTACCTGCCGTCTAACCAGTTACTCTTCTTCGTCAACCGACCGCATTGTTTTCGGGCAGGGTTGCAGAATTCTATTAATCTCTTAGGACTATACTCTGTTTCACCTTAGGACGGACCGCAGAAGACGCTTTAAACGCATCGCATGGCTACGCATTCCCACGTGTCACTGTGCCCCCCTTGAAGGTCACCCGACACTGGCACGGCACTGGATTGGCTTGGATGGCTTGTAGCGTGCACTGCGGCCCGTCCTAAGGTGAAATGGAGTATAGCATTTTTAAAGCCGCATCTCTGGTCGTGAGCGTTGGTCGTCGTCGTCGTCGCACAAGAACAGTCTCCGCTGCTCTATACTTGAAGCCAAAACCAAACAGTTCCATGTCCTTAAAGGGGTACTCCGGCTATTTTTGAGCTACCCTGAATAACTATTTTTGTTTTTTTGAATTCCCGGCCTTTACCCGTTCGAGTATGCTATTTAGCGTCGCAAAAATTCTGAATAGTTGCTGTGGAACTGGCAAATAAAAATTATGCCAGAACCAACATTCAAACGTACTCGCACCTTTCGGCACCGCGACGTCGGTGGCGGGCAGGCTCGGCAGTCGAGCGTGCAGTCTAAGAGATGGACTGCGCCGAGCACTTGTTTCGTGCTGCTGTGCGGGTGCTGGAGCGAGCTTCCAAAGCATTCATTTGACATCATGATGCTGCTTGTAATTCGTTGGAAACAAATCCTACGACTCAAAGAGTGAACCGTTCGCATTATTTTTCACTGTTGCCAGTGGAGACTTTTACTTTCAAAAACACGACGAGGACGAAAATTGTAAATTCAATAACTTTGCAACAAAGTATTATTTCGGCCTAATATTTCGGGGTACTATTTCAGTGATGTTTGTTGGTGTGTTTAGCAAATCTTCAGGCAAATCAGACCACAAATAAAACGCCGGAGTACCCTTTTAACGCAGGAAAGGCTACGGTTTCCAATGTTCGCCTTACCCTCTTTTTCATCCGCAATCACAATTCTGACAGCCGCCAATCAAATTCATGTTTCTGCTCGTTGGCTATTACGAAACTTAGTTTGAGAAGTTCTGCAGTGACTGAAATTGTTATATTGGCTAAGAGTGCTGGAACAGCTGGAAGTGCTGGAGCGACTGAAAGCACCCTTACAGCTGAAAGCGCCCTAGCAGAAGAAAGTGACATAACAACTGAGGGTGACAGAGCACTTGAAAGTGCCATAGCAATTGGAAGTACTGAAGCGGCTGAACTCCGTAGCAGGGGTTCTCGATCTTGAGGAATGCATATCACTCGACTGATGGATGAGGGATCCCACCAGGTTTTAATATTTATACGCAAAGCAATGTAGAAATGCTACAGACCTTGTAAGCATTAGTGCCCATAGTAGAGGGTGTTTGGCACATAGCTATATATATGCACTGATGGATGACTCGGATCTTGCAAAACGGTGCTACAGCCAGAAGAATACTTTGCCTACGGCCAAAGAAATCTGGAAGCTTGGGAGACCCCTGAAGATACCCTGGTGTAGCCCAAGCACTCCTGGAAACCAAGTCTGTGCCGTAGCGGACGGAAAACTAACCACTTACGGCGCTGTAGTAGGAATGGAGGTGGTGCCGCGACTTCTCGTCAAGGAACTTGGTCCTCTCCCACGACAAGATCTGCTTGTCTCGAGTCAGGTGAGCCCAGGTGATGTAGGGTGGGCTCACGTCCACTGCAAGCACCTTGGCGACCTCCTGGAACGAGAGGTCGTCCCCTTGCTCATTACCGGCACTAGTCCGAACAAGGAAAGACTGTCGCAGAGAAAGTTCTCGACAGGCTTGATGGCATACGTGCAGAAAGAGGTCCTTCCACTAAGAGTTGGCAAGTCTAAACTTTTCGATGTGGCACCCAACTGAGCTTGGCACTGAACAAACCACTATTATAGCACCATAAAGGCTAGCTCATGAGTGTTCATTTGAGTGTTACCAACTGTGTTGTCACTGTCTGACGCTGCTTATGGCATGAGAGCACAGTGGCACCATCCATCGAACGACCCTGGAATGTTTTCGACTAGACAGAAAGTTTTTGCAGTATTTGTAGAATCAAATCTACAGACTATGTATGAGAGATGGTTGCACATAAGGTTGTCAGAATCATTTCAAACCCACCAGGAAATAACAATGCACAAAAAATCAAGAATATGCACAGATCGGGAATATTCCAGGGTTATCCAGTAGCTCCTTCCTGCGAAAAATTTGACTAACAACCTCGCCTTGGTCAACAGCAGGTGACAGTGTAGATGACAGAGTTAACAGAAGGTTATGCTTGTGGCGCCATCTCCCGACATGTGCAGCAAGCAGATGACGCACTCGATCAAAAGTAAGAGACACCTTCGTCCACTCACTGCGCCCATTGGCAGATGGCGCCACAAGCCCAACAGGTAACTTGGTCGTCAGCATCGTTGTTTGCCACTGACCATGGCAACGGTATTAGTAGGATTCTATGTTTTCGGAGTTTATGCAGAGACTTCAGAGTTTATTGGAGTTCTTTGTTGTTTGATTCCCCATTCTCCAAAATTCTGAGTTTAATTTTGCAGTGTTTCCTATCAAAACAAATCAATAAATGAATAATATCCGGGTGTAAACTTGTGCTAGATAAAATAAATAAAAATACACGTGTATCAATTAATGTGTCTTCAGATGCACTTGGCGCTGGTGTCATTACCATTGGCAATACTAATTTGACCGACGACAAGAGTTGCACACAAGCGTGGGTTACTTCGATAGGCGTCGGTACCTTAAGATCACTAAACTCCTGGAAATAGTCGGTGGTAAGCTCGTACTCATCCCTTTCCATCAACCTACACTGCTGCCGCGCGAGGTGGAGTGGTAAACAAGGTAACGGAGAAGTTTCAACTGCTCCTCTTCCCAATTTTATGCAATCTCTAAGGCTCATAGTTTTCACTGTTACAAAAACACAATTTCTCCTTCTCTAAAGCACAAATAATATCGCCCGAACAGAAAACCAAGACAGTGGCCTTTGTCGTAACCCGAAAGTACAATGACCTGTTGTCCTGAATGAACCTTGACGAGATAAGCGGTACGACCCCTTTTGACAAGGGTCCGAGATTGGAAAGATAACTGTGGTGGCAGGACATTTGACCCTGTGTGCCTATCAAACTTAATTCTAAAATACAGCTTGTTTCTTTTGTGTGTGTGTCTGTGGAAAAGGGGGGGGGGGGGGGGGGGAGAGAGGCATTGGCATATCAAAATTCGGTACCAAAATATTACCGGTGGATATTTTTTTCAGTTCTTTGGATTTATCTGAAAACATGGAACCCGAGGTATTAGATGATATTTCACCTCGAAATTGCACAACATAAAGTCTATCACTAAAATACTCCTTCGATTCGAATTTTACATCGCTACGAGCAGGCACTGGATTTTCTGGCCGATTTGAGAGCAATCTCTGGGATGAATTACACCCTATACTTTTCAGGCTAAAAGTGTGCCAGCTTCCAAGTCAACATGTTCAATGCACATAGCAAACAAATCTCAGAAAAAAAAAAGAAAATAGGGATTTGATGTTTACCTGTATCCTTTCTTGGGACAAGGCAGGGACAATGCTGGTCCTGTCAGGCCTCTTCACCTGAGGCTTCTTCCCATAGAGGACAGCCTCACAGATCTTCTTGAGCCCTTTCTCCTGGAAGCCCCGGATGGAGAGGACGTGGTCAATGCTCTCAAAGCCACCATTTTCCTCCCGATGGTGCAGAATGCGCAGGATACTCGAGGCCCCGATGGACAGCTTCTGCAGTTCCTTTTCGGACGAGTGGTTGAGGATCCGCAAGACCTGATCCTGCTGCTCACTCGTGTACTGCGGTCCGAACGAGATGTTCCGTAGTGCCTGCACAGTTTTATAAAACTGTCGTGAGGAAGGTTACAACGAAAGCAAAAAAAACCTGGAAAGACAACAATGATTTTTTTTTCTTCTTTTTAACAAATGATTTTTTCACTGAAATAGCCACCCACAATGTAATTTTTTGCTGCAGCGTCGCATCTATTTTTAATAAAATTAAAAAATCCAACTGCTTGAAGCAGAACTGGGGAGGAAGAGATATGGAGGAGGAGAGAGCTGGCAAAAATCACGCAGCTGTGCAGCTTTTCTTTTTTTCAACGTATTTGGAGCCATGGAAAATGGGTATCATATTTCTTTTTTTATTTTTTATATTGAGTGTGTGAATTCGATGACCCACGGCTTTGATTATATTTGGTGGTTGTGTCTAAACCATAGAAAACTGCACATGACCACGGAGAAGAGAGTGAGCGCGACTCAAACAGGCCAGTTCTCAATTGGCGGTATTCGGGCAGATAAAAAACAAATTTCAAGCCGCAAATTGTGTTCTGGGTAGTTGGGCTCTCATATGCAGTGACCCCGGAAGTGTATTTTACTTGGGGGGGCTAGGGGTTGAAAAAAAAAAAGGGGAAAAAAAAAGGGGGGGGGGGAGTGAAAAAAAAATTAATATTTTAAGGTTTAAAGAAGGGTTACTATCACTACCTATACCGTGTGCCCATACATTCAGACTAGGAGGAACACGCCTCTTCAAAGTCATCAACATTCCAACCCAATATCCTCTCATGACCCCTTTATTTACTGACTTTATTTTTTTTAATTTGCTTATTTACTCATATCTTGCATATGGGGACTTAAACAATAAAGCAGAACATACAGCAAAGTAATCTTGATGGTTAAAGTATTAAGGGCTCAAACCGCCTTGTCCACCCTCTTCTAATAACTGAACTCTCGTGTCCCAAACTAACAGACTTCTGCATACAAATAATACTAGAAATAAGTAAGACTAAATGTGATTGTGATATAGCAAACTCTATCATTTTTGGCACATTCATGGGCATCTCTTTTGAAGATCAAGGAGGTATTTTCAAACTCCTCTCCTACACGCTCTGTTTTAAGGGTAAAATGTTTCCATTAGTTTTGGAAGTGGTCTTGTTTCTTCTAAGTTCAGTAGTTTAGAACTTTGCAGCCATTTAGACGTATTACTCTAAGCCATAGGCGGCCAAGCTGACCCAGCCTAAGAGCCGCAAACAAAACCACTGAACTTCCAAGGGTAGAGTAAAGGAAGAAAAAAAAAATGAAAGCCGTTTACAACTCCCTGTAACACCGAATTGGAGCGCAGCTCTTGAGGAGGAGGAGGGAAGGGTACTGAGGGTTACCTGTTCTCGGGGCGGGGGGGGGGGGGGGGGGGGGGTCATGTGACCTTGAAGGGTCACGTGAGCCCCTAGAAAAAGTTTTCCGCTAGACTTAGCGGGGAATTTTTTCCGCTAGATTTAGCGGGGAAATATTTCCGCTAGGTTTAACGGGGAAATTTTTCCGCTAGATTTAGCGGAGCATTTTTCCTGCTAGATTTAGCGGAGAAATTTTTCCCTAAATTTAGCGGAGAAATTTTTCCGTTAGATTTAGTGGAGAAATATTTCCGCTAGATTTAGCGGGAAAATTTTTCCGCTAGATTTAGCGGGGAATTTTTTCCGCTAAATCTAGCGGCGAAAATTTTCCCGCTAGATTTAGCGGGGAAATTTTCCGCTAAATCTAGCGGGGAAATTTTTCCGCTAGATTTAGAGGGGACATTTTTCCGCTAGATTTAGCGGGGAAATTTTTCCGCTAGATTTAGCGGGGAATATTTTCCGCTAGATTTAGCGGGGAAATTTTTCCGCTACATCTAGCGGGGAATTTTTTCCGCTAAATCTAGCGGGGAAAACTTTTACGCTAGATTTAGCGGAGATATTTTTCCGCTAAATCTAGCGGGAAAATTTACCCATAATGCACCGCGCGGTTACGCCGACGGTGACGGCGACGCCGACGCCGCTCAAGCCGGAAACGGGCCCCTAAGAGCTGCGCTCTAAAAGGGTGGGGGGGGGGTCTAAACTTTTTTTAGACCAATAAATTAAACTTGAACCTTTAGATCTATCCAAGTCAAAAGCAGCCCAACTGTATGTACGTATGGTAGCGGTAGCACAGGAACAAACCGCAACCTGTCTCAATTTAAAACTGGCTCCTTTTCTCTTCTTGGGGAAGTAGTCATGTGACCAAGAGGGAGGAGGGAAAGGATGGGGGTGTCAGGAATACTAGGGGCCATGAGCCGCAGAGCCGCAGCTTGGCCACCCCTGCTCTAACCTAAGAATAAAAAGTTGTACCTCAGAGGCTCGCAAAACAAAATTGCAGCGATCATATCACTCGATGGCAGAAAAGGTCTCGCACTGGCAGATGAGACACGGGCTCCAGAGCAGTTGCTTGCAGTCACTGCCTCGAAAAAGTTTAGGGGACATCTCAAGAGCCGGCTCCTTGATACGCTTGTTAGTGGTTAGAAAAGAATGCTTCGGGAGGCTCACCGATATTTCTTTTTGCTTGTTTTAAACTTGTTGTTTCGGAGGAAACTTTCCATATGGAACTATTTTAAAAGACCAAAAATATACAAAAAAAAATAAATGTGTAACGTGTATGTTGCTCATGTAGCCTTTGGCAACACTTGCTTACCTTCCAACTAACAACTGTCCGTACAATGCATCGAGGGTGCCCCAGTACAATAGAGAACTCCGTGGACGTCCTTCCGCCTGGTTTCAATTAGAAGAGACCTCAAAGGGACCGCCACCGTCGACAGCTTTGCTCCCTCCGACAAGGAGGGTGGCAGGCAGCGCTTACATTTTGTTGCTCTGGCACAGTTTTTTACAAAGAGCTCACAAACACCAGCTCGTCTAGAAAAACCGCTTCCCCGTCGAAGAAAAAAAAAGGGGGGGGGAGGGGATTGGCACGACATCAGAAAGCCAGAGCCCAGAGGCTCCTCTTAGTTTTGTTCCACCTTTAGATCTGAGCTGTTCTGAACTAAAACAGACTAGCATATTTATTTATTTTGTTTTTCCTAATTTCCGGAGATGAGCACTGCAGCCCCCTTAGCCCGTACCTTAATTCGGCCCTGGGGTAGAGGGAGGCCTTGAGCCAAATGCACAGGGGCTCAGCATATTGCCCAGCACTCCCTGGAAAATGACAGCAGGTGCTTAAGCCCCCGTTGTCCCCCCCCAGTTTCAGGGTTCCTCCTCATATGTTATATACAAATAAAAACCTTAGTGAGTATAAATACCCTGTCAGTGTCCCTTTAAGCTTAGGTTTACATCAGTACCCTTTTTTTTTTACTTTTTAGTTTTTCTCTTGCATCTTTTTACTTTGTATTTATTTATTTATTTATTTGCTTTACCCTCAGGGCCCGAAGGCATTACACAGGGAGAGAGCAAAGTTGGGATTAAAACACTGTAATGTATCGATATTCACACTCAATAAAAAAAGATTGGCTAGAGCAGACCTAAAAAGCACATTGTCAGTTATGGATGCAATTGGTACGGCAAGGTGGTTCCAGTCGAGGGATGTTCGAGGAAGGAAAGAAGATTGGAATGTAGATGTGATAGCGACTGGTACCTCAGCTTTGTGCTGATAATCACGACGAGCAGAAATATAAAAGGGACGAGTGATTAATTTGTCGCAAAGCACAGAGTTATGAAAATAAATTTTGTGAAATAAAGAGAGGCGTGAAAGCTTACGTCGCAGGAAGAGGGGCGGAAGTGACAAAGTAGATTTCATAGAAGTTGCGCTAGATGTTTAATGATAATTAGAAAGAATAAAACGAGCGGATCTATTTTGAATGCCTTCCAACGCGGTGATGAGAGTGGCTTGTCCGGGATCCCAGACAGAGGCTGCATATTCTAACTTCGGTCGAACTAGAGTTTTATAAAGAATCAACTTGAGGGAAACAGGTGCCAATGAAAAGTTACGCCTGAGGTAGCCTAACATACGGTTAGCATTAGGTGTGATATACTGTACACATTGTCACATTTTCGAACTTTCGCACACTGTCACTACCGTTAGCGTCACTCTCACAGAGTTCCAGCTTTCTGCGATGCATACCGTAAAATACAGAGCAAGCCGCCCACTCCAAATTTTGAGATAATCGCGAAAAAATGGGGGTCGGGTGCTTGTCCGGTCATCAATGTTACATATCGGTGTACTGTGCATATTTTCTCAGATCTTACAAATCTGAGAATGGGCGCTTAGTGTGGAATGGGCGGATGTGTGGTATTCTACGGTAGTTTATTTGTGCGGGCCAAAAAACCACATTTCGTTTTTGTCGATCAGACTCACTGGTCTGTGGCGACACAAGAACTGCACGAGAGGCTCCAACTCTTCTCATCGCACAAAGGTATATGAGCATTAAGCTGAGCTTTGTTTTTGAGGGTGCCAGTTTTGAAGGAAGGGTGCTGGCAGATGCCCCTGCCTTTCTGTGACGTTTCACAAATTGTGCATTCACACCGAATAGTGTAGTGAACACCACTTCCCACCGTGAATTCGGAGGTGGAGCGTCTACAGCCCTTGTGTTTGTATTAGTAATAATAATAATTTTATTTTCACATACTGGAAGGGGCACATGTGGTGTGCGGGGTTAGGCAGATAGCTGAAAACCCTTACGCAGAGCGCCTGCCAGCGTAATAAATTATAACGCTAAAAGGCGTAATATAATACAATATATAATTTTTATACGATACAATATAAAAATTGTATTATAAAAAACAAAATAAGTAGTACATTTATTTTGGTTCAGGAGAGCTTTGGCATGTTGAGAGATGAGCACTTTCCGTAGTGTAGCTTCTCTAAACAGCGATTCATGATAGAGCGTCGGTTCCACATCGCATGTGCATAAAATAAAGGCCGTTGATGCAATTTGTGTTGCATGGCCTTTGTTGCATGCAAGTTGTGTTGCGTGGACCGCTTCAGAAAACTGTTTCGGTGTACAGAGGGGTTTTACAATCTACTAGAATTTAGCTTCTAAATCGTAAATATCAAACTAAACCCCAAAAAAGGTTGACATGTGGTGATATATATGCATGGTTGTATCTTTACATGAAGACTGCTTGCTATTTTGATTATTTGTTCGTTTTACTCATTTTCGCCGGTACCAGGCAGAGTAGTACTTACTCTCTTGATAAAGCGTTTGTGAAAAGCCGTGATACACCCCAGGAAAACTGCGGGGATTCTACTGTTTTAAGAAATAACAACAATCCTTTTTTTTTTTTTTTTTGATTGAAACCAAAAGCGTTGCATTTCATTTTGACCGTCGAATGAATGAGCTTGATGCTACCTATGAAGGTCAAAGCAGAAGCGCTCAAAGGACGATGTAAGCCTCGCCGAAACATCAATGAATTGCACTCATTGGAAGAAAACGAGACTATTGCTTACCGACTGAGTCGCTGCGAAAATGTTCCGTGGTCCGGCATTCTTCAAAACATTGCCGCAAACGAAACAACGAAGCACACCTCCAAAATTCATGCTGCAGCCATTTTTGTTCACAGCCGGCGGCCAGATTTCCCCCTCGTGGACGGTTTCGAAAACTGATGCACGGTGCGGACAACTTTACGAAACCAATTATGATTCGATAGTGAACACTGCAAAACAGAAGAAAAAAATATGACTCCATAAACTTTGAAACATAGACAAACGCGACACGACTTCTACAAAACTTCGTGCGTGGCTCCCGGAATTTTGCAATGTTGAAACCCCATTCATTTGATTCAGTTGCGACGTGCGCGCGTGTCACGTGATCAAAAACGTCACGTTCGGTTTTCGTTTGTCCAACCTCTCCGCAAACGCCGCGCTCCGCAGGGGCTCCGGCAGAAACAGCTGTTGTTCGGAAGCTGTTTAAAATCCGTCGGCGATGTTTCCTTTACGCAATTCCCAGAAGTTCTAGGTCGGGCGCAAGATGTGGGTCTTCGGGTACGGATCCCTAATGTGGAAGGCGGACTTTCCTCACAGCCGGCGAGTGGTCGGTTACGTGAAGGGTTACGTGCGGCGATTTTGGCAGGCCAGCGAAGATCACCGCGGAGTGCCCGGGAAAGTGAGTACACACCACGGAAAGTAGTTAAACTTGTACTCTCCTTGGAGAAAGACACTTTTTTTTTTCAGCTTATGTTGGCCTCCCGCACCGGTTTAAAAATAGTGAACCGCCGCAAAGGTAGAGGAAGCACTTGCCTTGCGTAACGGAGCATTGCGGGGGAAAAAACTTGCTGCGTTGGATCGTGTCATTCAAGGTCTGCTTCGATGTGCGAATATCTGACAAAAGTTTTTACCTGAACTTTTTTGTTTTGCAGCCTGGCAGAGTGGTCACAATAATACCTTCAAACGATCCAGAGGTATGTTCTTTTGTTGTTGCGTATATCTCATGTATGTATTTAAATATATGTATAAATATATTCGTACAATTTTTTTTTCTTCTTTTTCTTGTGTACTTTCAGGACTGTGTGTGGGGTGTTGCCTACGAGATCCCGGAAAAGCATATCCAAGAAGTCATGTACTATCTTGACTTTAGAGAAAAAGATGGATATGATAAGGTGCACAACTTTTCTTTATTTTGCTAGCTGAGCTCTTAATAATGTGCTCAATATTTTAAAGGTTTCACACCTGATGTGACCATGCTCTATGTATGGCTACGGATCTGCCTTTTCGGAGTTTATCTTATGACAAAACAGAATTGGTGTTTTTTTTTGTTTTTTTTGTTTTTAGTTAATTGTTTTTATTGATAATTCGGAGTTCTGATCAGCATTTCCGTTCAGCTCACAGAAAATTCTTAAGCTTTTCTTTTTTTTTCGTTTCTTTTTTTTTTAAATTTAAGTAGAGAACAGAGTTCAGTAAAGCCGTCTTAGGCAACGAAGCGAGAAATTAACATATCACAAAATGAATTAATTTGTCAAATAATTCACACAGAGATACACATGTAGAGATCTCGAGACGAGCTCTACTTCAAAGCCAAACGTGCCGTCCAGTACTCCAAGATGTAGAGGGGACCCTTTCCAACAGCCATGCTAACTTCTAAGAGGCAAAGCTCGCAGATGATAATGCCGTCCCTGCCAGTTGCTTTAAAAAGAACTAGATATTGTTCGGCCCAATTACCGGGGAGCTTTTCACTTGTTTTCTGTCACACGAAGGTACTCATCATCCTGAATGGCAAGCAGATTCAATCTCCAAACGAAACAGAGCCGGAAAAAGATAAATGAATGTCTGGGAGGAAGACGTGTCTGAAAGCCGAATCTCCAAACAAAGTGTGTGTTCGGGCTCATGTCGTAAGAACATTGCTTCCGTTTTCTGATAAAGGGTCAGTAGACAATCCTTTTGTGACCCTTAAAGTGCTGGTTCACGCACTTGCGTTTGACCGTAACTCACAGTGTTACGATGACTTGCGACTGCTTACAACCAGAAAAAACACTGATGCCATCTGGCAGGTGGATCACATCCGACCTGCATATAACTACAAAGGCTGAAGCTTTTGCAGTGCTTGCGAGATCAAATCTGCGAGCCGTCTACGAGAAACGGATCACTAGTGTAACACTTTCAGAAATATTTCAAGCCCGCAGTGAAAGAATAATGCATTAAAAAAAATGTGGAGATATATGCTTCAGGGATACTGCATTATCTTGCGAGCAGTCACAATTAAGCGGTCGTAACACAGCCAGCCGAACACAAATGTGTGAAACAGCCATTACAAACAAATGTGACGTTGGGAGAAAAGTAAGGACCCGACGAGCTTTTCCGAATGGCGGTTCTAGAATTCCGAATTTTAGGGATAAATCGGAATCCCCGGTACTTTTACCGGGGAGCGTTTTTCAGATTTTATTGGGTTTGTACGTACCAGCAAACACAGCACCCTAGCTATGACCAAGGGCTCAAGTCGTTCAAAAAGGAATTCTCAGAAGTGCATTTCGGTACCCGCATTTGACGAATTTCAGTCTAATTGATGTCCTACTCTGTGCCTTTTCCCAAATTTTCACACTTTTATGATGGACTGCAACACCTCAAAACGTTTCCCACAAGAGTTGAGGCATTCCAAATTTTGCGGAATTTAGTATTCCATTGATTAATTCATGCCTACAACCAAAAAACTTTGCTGCAACGTAGTTTCCCCTGACCAACCGAATGCCATCTGCTAATTCTAGCTTGTGCAGTTGTTGTTGTCGTGTTTCAATTCTGTTGATCCTTACAAGCGAAAAACTTTGCTGCGACGTAGTTTCCTCTGACCAACCGAATACCATCTGCTAATTCTAGCTTGTGCAGTTGTTGTTGTCGTGTTTCAATTCTGTTGATCCCCATAAGCAAAATAATTACTAGGACATAGTTTCCCCTGACCAACCGAATACCATCCGGTATTCTTGTCATTCTTTCATTCCGTTCATCGTTGCAAGCAAAAACTTTACTATGACATAGATTCCTCTAACTAAAAGAATATACCATCTACCTATACCAGTCCATGCAATTGTTATTGTCATTTTTCAAATTCCATTTATCCCCATACACAAACACTTTACCACGACATAGGTTTCCTGTAATTAACCGAATGCCATCTAGTAATTTGTTTGCACCAGCTGTTGCCGTCATCATTTCCCATTCCTATAGCAGCTGGATGTTTGCATGTTTGAGCTCATGCATGCAAATCCATTAGAGAACTTCCGCTGTTGCAACGTGTACAGCACTTGTGACCGAGTGATATTCATATCAGAGAGAAAATGTTTTGTGAATCTGTTTGCTATACTGGTAGGCTGAACCAAGCAAAAAGTAACAGCAGTATCCTTGCCAACTAATGTCCCACATTTAAACCAAACTGATTGTTCATTGAAGTAGAGCCTCGAAATATATATATTTTTTTAATATTAGAAACAGTGTCCTCCTTCAGATGCACCTTCTATAGTAGAAAAATATAGGCAGCACCCAAATCATTTAGGCAGTGGATGCCACTGTCCCCAACCTCAGCTTTGTTCTTCTATATTTTTAATAACTACCACGGTGTCAGGGGTGGGACTGACCAACTTGGAGCAATTGTTTTAGCTGAAAATTCTGCATTTTGGAACACTAAGCTAAAATTTTTTTGCTGGAGCACCTTAGGAGTAAGCTGTGACATCATTTTAAGAAAGCATCCCAGCCAGTTGTACACAGAGTAACAATTCATGGAAACTAGGCTTGTACTACAAGTGTTGGAAAGTACCAAATATAACTTTACTGAGAAATATGTGAAATTGCACAGATATATATTTTATTTAAGAAACAAATTCTGGTTAAAATAAAGAGGCACGACTCTGGATCATTAACGCTACGTTGCTTCATACATTGTCGCATGTATGATGCAACGGTACGACGGTTTGGATATATGAATGTGTCCATCGAATCCATCGGATGGATGAATAAATGGACAGATACAGCTGATTGGACAGATACGGCCAATGTTACTAGATTACCTCAGTTGTAAAACTCCCATTGAGAGGGTGTACCCCCCTCCCTCACTTCAGCCCGCCTCCCGTCGTTTGAACCGCCATCTAGATTTTCCTTTCATAACGAGTTCAATAGGGTATAGCAGAACGCCATCTAGATGCTGTGCTTCAAAACATATGTGTTCCAGAGAATACACTGCAGTTACCATAGAAGCTGTCCGGCGTGTCGAACGACGGGAAGCGAGTCTTGGTGAGTGAGGGGGGTACTGCTCGTGCAAGCAGCGTCTATGAGCAGTTCCATAGCTCAACTACTCCAACAATGTTGGATAAGGCTCTGCGGACAGCCGCTTGCGCCACCTGGCAATGGAATAGCCCAGGTTATCAACCTAACTTTCACCTTCCGCTAAATCTAGCGTCACCGTGATCTTTGGTGCAGCATGGCACAATTTTGGTAAATTTCATGCTTTTGGTGCAAGAAATTGTGGATGTGTCAAAATGGCACGATTGGCGTAGCTGTCCCACCTCTGCAGTGTTCTAGATCAGGAAGAAACAATACCTACTTTTAAAAATTTCTGGCAAGAGTGTGAAGCTATATACCTTTGTTAAGGACACCGATAGCATAAGCATATGCTCACATCTCTATGCTTTTCCATAGGCTGAAGCACTAGCTCCATCAGTTTCAATCTGATCTGTGAATTTATGCCGCATATTATGTTAAGGTACTCTGCTACTTTACTTTCAAGCTGTCATTTCCAAGTGTTTTGACACTGCACCTGGCAGCTGGCATCACAAGTTGCAAATATTGCTAACTCTGTTGTCTGTGGACACATTCGCTGTTGACTCTGGCAAGTTTGTTGGTCTCACTTCTCACAAAAAGGATGCTACACCTTAAACTTCCACCAGATAAAGTGCACCACCCAAACGCAACTTTGGTGAAAGGTAGAGCTTTCCATGCACCGGTGCCGATTTCTGTAACTCGTTTTACAGCACTAAGATCCGTTGTAGACACCCCATAATATCCGTTTGTGTGAATGGGGCACATAATTCTCATGACGTTCTATCAATATGTCCCAGGTGCAAGTGATCTTCCATCCAGAGAGCGATAGCACCCTGGAACCGTTCCCACTGACCATCTATGTGGCACACCGGGACAATCCGTTCTACCTCGGTCCAGCCAGTATCCAAGACATAGCCAGGCAGATCCGAACGGCTCAAGGCCCCAGCGGACCAAACCGCGAATACCTACTCAAGCTCGCCGAAGCCATGAGATCTCTTGCGCCTCATATCAAAGACCACCACCTCATTGAGCTAGAACACGAGCTCATCAACTTGGACATGAACGAAACCAATGGACATCAGCCGCAGGATGAGGCTCGGCAGTCAATGATGGCATGAGTTTTTTTCATTTTATTTTGTTTTTCTTGCTTTTAAGAAGATTCCTTTATCTCTTGTCATCTTTACGGCATTCCCACAAAGAACATTATGATGCCCATCAATGGTATTTTGTGGAGAAGAGGACGAAAACGTCACAAGTACTTTAGACATAGCTTTGCCAAGCCACGCACATTTGCCGAGTCATGATTGAGGATGCACTACAGGGTTTCGCAGACTGTCCGTCAAGTCATGTTTGTCACAGAGTTGCCGGATCTAGTGTGATTTTAGAGTTGGAGCTTGAGGTACGAAGTTTCACAATTTAGAAGTACTTATATTTATGTGAACATAAGCACAAGTAAAGGGTATGTTGAGTGTGTCCTGTGTGGCAATCAATGCTGTTTTTATTTTTATTTTTAGAGGAACTGACTGCAAATAGCTTGAGAGGGAAGAAATGCCAGTGTGGCTGTGTTCACGTCTCTCAAAGTATCTTTATCATCCACACGGGTCCTGTGCCAAGCTGCGCTTTAGGCTGAGTCATCACAGGCATTGGTGGGGGCGGTGGTACAGCACAGTTCTGGCTTGTCTGGGCTGCCGGAAGATGTAGCTTTGCTGGAGATGGTGCAAGATTTCTCTGGCTGATCAGACCCTTCTCAAAGTGGCCTAAGCGGTCCACACTTCCACTAACCTGCAAAATAACAAGTCGACGTTAACTGCCATCTCGTAGCTATCGACATTTGAAATAAGGCTATCAGCTTTTTCTTTTTATTTCTCTAAACATTTGCTTCGTCTTTTTAACGTCTGCACAGGTCTGTTAGAGGTTGTTCAGAGAATGTCAAAGCAGCATGTCTTTGAAAAGTTACGATAACGCATGTTCAGAGGATTATGGTTACGGTCGAGGTTACATGATTACAAGGCAAAAGCCCACAAAGCAAGTTACCCCACACACAGGGTTGCTCACAGAGTACCCGATCCGTTCGTAAAACTCCTGCTTGTCGTGCGTCGAGAGGTGGCACCTTGTGAAGCCTTTTCTGCATGGTACAAGAAACAAATGGACAGGCCCGCGACGGGTGGCGACGCCAACAGATTTCAGTTTACGTCGCCCACCTTAAAATTCCGCCGTCAAAATCGGAACTCTAGCGTACCTGCGGACGTAGTCTTCGGTGAGCTTCATGATCGCCCTCCCAAGCCCTTTTCCTCTTTCTTCTGGGATGACGATGACTGTAATGATTGAGCGAACAAATCGAACGCCAAATCATTCAAGTTCAGCCAATCACCCAGGTGCCTGATCATTCACCTGACTCAATGAAGCAGGCTTGTTCATCATGCAGCACCTTGCACACTCTGGCGTGGCCAAGAACTTGTGTCTGTGCTTCCGATTTGAGCACCAGCACTAACGAAACTGGCAGGTTGCTGGTTGACTTGCTCAGACTATGAGCCCTGAAGAAAAGAGGCGGACAGTCTACAAAACGCATACATTCGTACAATGTATCCCGCACAATTGGCTAGAAAACGGGCACACTTAGTTGAAGGCAGCGTATCTTTCTGCCACTGTCGTAACGTGTCGACCCACCAGTTTCGTGGCTCTGTGTCGTGCTTCAAAGAAAGGAACAGTACGCAATACGAGCATTGTTTGAGTTCGCTACTAGATCTTTTCTTGAATCAAAGTGCCCTGGTGGCATGGTGACACAAAATGAATTCTAGGTACCAGTTGGCCACAAGATGTCATGATCATTGTGTCGTAACAGAGCGCACTGCTTGCGTTTTCATTGCTGCGACTTCCTACAAGTGCACAATACTGTGGGCATTGCCGAGAGATACCGAAAAAAAACTTGGCACTGTTTTTTTTGGTTTCCGATGTGCCGGATCTTGGGCAAAAGTAGGCAAATCTAAAACGATGAATTGCAACTTCCCTGCTGGTACCCCCTGTCGTGCAAGCGTGTTCGCGTGTGCGTGAAGGAAAGTTACGCAGGCTTGGAAGTTCACGTGTTTGGCTGGATGAGTACAGACATCGGCTGTCTGATCGAAACCGAAACCATGCCACTTTGCTCCGTAGCCAACTGGTTCCCACCGTGCAATGTGTGCAGTGTTGCATGGAGGGACTTTCGACAGTACCCTATGGGAGAAAGCCCCTCAAACGTGATGGGCCGAATATAATTATGGTCAAGCTATCATTCTTTGATACTTAGCGGGAATGTAATCTGTCGTTCAACTCGCTCGAATAATCGGTCAAGTTTGTTTTGGCAAGATTGTTTTGATGTTCAGGCTGACTCTGGTACTGCACACCAAAATTAATTCTGCACATATCTACTGAACATCTGGAAAGCAGCCGAGACACGAAGGTAAATACAAAACAATATGTAGTACAGAAATACCATTTTGAAACTTCTTGAATAGCTTATGAAGGCACGAAAATGTTTCGACCAACACGCAGGGAAAAGTGTTATATGCCCGAAACAGATACGCAAATCGATGGCCTGAACATAATTCTGTGCATGCCGACCCTGATGTTCGTGACATGACGTGATGGACGGTAATCGAGACGGTGGCAGGGTTATATACGATCCACCTTTTGGAGACATTTTTATGTATATCAACGATCGCAACGACGATCGCACATTTGTTAGTTTTTCAGAACAGCTAGTTTCCCGAGTGTTTGTGAGTGTGCTACGAAAGGGCGTCAGTCTAATCTACCACTCATCAATTGCAAGCTTCAAAGGCACAATCTTTGTCTGCAGGATAAACAGTAGTAGCGAAACCAGCAGCGTTATGACCATTCACACGAAATCCACATCATTTCTTCGAATGAAATCACCTGAGCAGCCTTCTAGTGATTACGATAAACTTACCTAGCAGTGTAGCTTCGTTTCCATTCACTGTTTAGAATGTCGCAGCAGGCATCGAGGTATTCTGGATGGTTGTGCAGCTCTACGAGTTCCATGCTCACGCCTTTCGCCGGTGAAGTTTCTCCAATGTAGGCGTACGAGTACGTCCGAACGAACGAGGGTGCAACGAGTCATCAAAAGTAATTCAGGAGGCTTAAAATTGCCTCCGTAAACGCTTAGTATAATATCAATGGGACGTAAATTGGGAAATGTCGCTTCTTTCTTACACAGAAACGAAGTTTGAAGGCAGCAGACGACTACCCGGACTCGCCGCAGTAGAGAAATTTGATCCCCAGCGTGATGTCCCTAGCGGCGAGAATGTCCCGATACCGCAGCCAGCTCAGTTCGACGGATGCGGCTTTTATGCGAGTACTTACTGAATGTTGATTGTTGAGTACTCGCGGCACTTGCGGTATTCGCCAACGTTGGTACTCGCCACACTCGCATACAGAGTTGAGATGGTTGAGATCAGTGCACATGTACATGGTATTCGGGCCACTTCCTGCCGCCATGACAGGGAGCCGAGTACACTTCCGGTTCGGGTTTTGTTTGTTCTATGTTCACATTAGCGGCCCCTGTTTCCTCTGTTCCAGAATTATATCGCGCTTGTTATATTTTCCGCGTCCACTGGCTATCCGCAAAATAAAAGATGCAGCGAGTCGTCGAACGCGAACAGTCTCTGTCGCGCGTCGATTTCACGCTCAACCCTAGCATAGCTTAATTTTAAAATTAATGATGCACATATCCGACTCTCCCAGACAGCGAAGATACTTGATCGAACGAATCAGACTTGATTTCTTGTGCTAATAAAAATTGATTGAAATATTAATTATTAATCCCCAGATATAGCTTTTTTATTGTTATTTTAGCCTGAACGCCGGTTTTCATAACAGAGATCAACTTGGTACAGCATAAAATATTTGTACATGAAGTAAGTTTTTATCGTCGTGTTGTTGTTTTTATTTAGAGTGAAATTACTTGCTGGCGTTATTTACGTGTGCACACGAGCTTGTGAACAGACGGTTTATGTTCGAGTCCTGGACAAACTCCAGTCAAAACCCACAGACGAACTAAAAACGGAGAGAAAAAAAAAAGTGAATTTTGAAAGTTTGTGTTAGCGGTTCGGTTCCACATCAATATCGAAGTTCGAGAGCCAGGTTGTTTTATTTTCGGCATGCAATCAAGCAACTGTTCATGACAAAATCAAAGCATTAAGACGTGAAACAGAAACAACTAAAGCCCCTTGGTGTGTTTGCACTTGCCTGTCAGGTATCATCAAATTCGCCAGTGCACGAGGGCATTGTCTCGAGCTTCCCTTAGAAACAAAGGACGGCGCAGCACTAAATGAGCGGCCCTTGGAAGCGAATGGCATAGAAACACCCGCTCGTGGCACGTGTCTTGCACGTTTCCACAATAATGGTTGGTGGTACTTGTAAGCGTGAATTCTACCGAGGAACTTTCGAAACAACGAGCTCCGTCCTTTTATTACTTGTCCACGTCGTCAAACACAGCAGCGCTTGTGCCTCTGCCCAAACAGAACAATTTTATCAAATGCAATCTGACCCAAGAGTGTCGCGTGGTCGTAACAATTTAGTTGAACGCGAAACTAGTTTTCTTACCTTGTCGCCTGTGTTTTAGAATCTAGCCTTTTGACGTCCGCGCATGCAACCGGTAGGTCGACGTTGTCACAATCGTCGAAAACACGCCGCTTGATATTTGCGGAGAAGGAGTGCGCTTTGTATACCAATCCTGCGATATCTCTACTCGACATCGAAAGCGCACCACTCGCTTTTTGCCGAGCCCGATTGAGCACGAGTGGCAACATCCTTCGCACCCTTCCTCAAAGGGACACTGACACCCCCCAAAAAAATTTTTTTATTTTTTGCCAGGCGCTTCATTATGGTGTCGGAGGACTACCCATTTAATATTTTGCAACAGAGTAGCGTATTTTTTTAATAAAGCCAAAAGACGCAACTGCTCAAAACCGAAACCGAAACCCGACGGAGGTCGGAGAAGTGGAGAGAAGAGAGTGAGTGGCGGAAGTCACGTGGCTACACCCGACCGTGCGTTTTTTTTTTTTTTGTTTTTCTCCTCTCCGGTAGCAGACGACAGGACATGCGGCGTGCGATGCGGCGTCGGGAACTGCTCGCCGTGCGATTTTTTTGCAGTTATGTTTGTTCCGTTCGTTGTTCTGTACTCCGAGATGAGTTGTTTTGTACATTGAGGAGTTGGAGATGAGCAGTGAGTGCCCGTGGTGAATTTCCATGATCGGCTCCGAAAAGAATACACCCAAGATGTTGCGTGAACAGCTGGCTCACATTTCCTGCATCCGAAAAAAAGTGGCATTGTGCGACAGAGTTTCAGAAAGATCAACGGGATCGGGACCAACGGCTGGCTGCAATTCCTGTAGAACATATACGGGCACCTCGGAAAGCGGACGTTACCTGATTTATACGCTCCTTGCATTTTGTGGAAAGTGATTACATTGAGCTCGCAGGTGTCAAAACGGAAATCCCATACCATTTAATTCAGCGAAGTATCGTCCACAACATTAGTTTGTTATTTTTTGTTTGTTTCTTCAGTGATGATTGTAAAAATATATATATATATATGTAAACATCGGAAAATGTTTGAAAAAAAAAAAAAAAATTTCACGGGGGATCGAACCCGGTCCTACCGCGTATGAACCGGACGTCTTTCCGACTGAGCTACTGGGGCATCGCTATCTTGGTGGATCTCTTTCCTTAGTAATAATTCAGCCGGTAAACTGTAAGTTGAAAAGTTTGCTGTCGATTTTTCTCTAGCAAGAGCACTCCCGGGTCGAAGTCGGGAAGCACCACGCTTTGGGGACATTCGCACCCAGTAAAGAAATCGTACGCGTGCATATTGAACTCGAAGTAGACACGTCGTGCTTGACGTTTGCGGGAGCGATGTCTTCAGCCACGAGAAGGGAGCGACGGCTCGGCGACGTCTTCGTGCAAATCGGCTTGGTGGCCGTGCGTGTCGTACGGGATGAATACCAATTCTTTTGATCAGTCCCAAATTTCTCTTTTAACGGTAGACAGAATTCGCCGGTACCGCGAACGACAGTTCTGAAATAGAGATCCCACGCCCGTCGTCCGCTGCCATCGCCGGCCCCGCGAGTCCCACGATACGCGAAACGACGCACGCACAGAATGCTTCCGGTTGTCTGTGGAACTTTTTTTTTTTTCAATCAACGTATTTACAGCTTTTTAGAAGCCACAAAAAATGGGTTTCATATTTTTTTCTATTTTTAATATTGAGTGTGTGCCTTCAGTGACCCACGACTTCGATTAAATTTGGTGGTCGCATCGATACCTTAGAAAACGGCCCGTGACCGCGAAAAAGAGAGTGAGCGAGACTCGAACCGGCCAGTTCTTGATCGGCGGTTTTCGGGCGGAAAGAAACCGAATTTCGAGGCGCAAATTCTGTTCTGGGTAGTTGAGCTCTCATATGTCACGTACAACTAAAAACCTCAGCGAGCATAAATACCCTGTCAGTGTCCCTTCAACTACGTCCGACAGGCGTAGCGTAGTTTCGATTTGCGGCGATGTTCTTGCAGTGCTCTTGATTTAGCGAAATCCACTATACACGGTTGGCAACATTGGTGCAAAAAATGGCAGATTAAAGGGCAACTCCCACTGATCTCTATGTCTATTTGCTGGATCGCGTTTGACCACTGATGTGTTTGACCAGCTCCTCCTATGGAGCGGAATGCGGTCACTGGCGGCCATCTTTAGGTAGAGTTATATCATCTCTAGCCATCATAGTAATATGGCCACTGATCAGTGAATATGGCGGACAGCGCAATGGCGGCAGGCTGCCATAAAAATAGCCATAGATCTAGTACACTGTACCGTGGGTGACATTTCGTGCTTGATTGAAGTTGTTCGACGAAGCAGATTCTTGAAACCCGGCGTGAACGGTAGCCTCATCTTTGAGGACCCGACAAAAGTTCTACGAAAGCGCAGTACTGGGGGAAAGCAGCGCAGCTCGCATCAAAAGCAGACTCCGTACCGTCGTCTGCTTTCGATGCTTCTTTCGATGCGACTTTCGATACGTGCTGTGCTGCTTTTCTTCCGGTGCTGCGATTTCGTGAAACTTTTACCAGGTCCTCAAAAACCGGACTGCTGTTCACGCCGGGTTTCAAAAACATGTTTCGTCAAATAATTTTAATCAAGCACGCAATATCACCCACGCTATTTTGATCGCAGCCTGCCAACCCACCTGCCAAAACGCTATCTGCCATGCATGGATGATAGCGGCTGCAGCAGCTTACATTGGCTAGAGGTGATATAACTCTACCTAAAGATGGCCGCCAGTGACCGCATTCGCGGAGCGGGCAAACGCGATCCAGCAATTGTCATAGAGATCAGTGGCAACTCCGCTCAATTTAGGCTTACATGTGATTCAAATTCACAAAGCACTACTAAACAACTCTACGTCTTCGGATTCGCGAAATGTGGAATATTATTTATGTAATCCTAATTTAAACATCAGCTGATAACCGAAACCGAAACTTCGGTTGCGTCAGGCAACATTGGTCTCAGGTCGTCAGAGTCATGGCCACGTCACTTCGAACCACGTGGTCTTGTGACGTTCGGGAGGGAGCGAGAAACAAAACACGCGACGGGGGCAGGTCTTTCTTTTTTTTTTTTTTTTATTGGACGCGGGCAGGTCGCTTCGCATAGCGTGGACGGTGATGGCCCGGGGGAGAGGGGGAAGGGGAGAAGACGAAAGAGGAGAAGGGGAGCGGAGAAACAGACCGATAAGCGCGCAGGGCAGCGCAAACTAGCGCATCCGCGTTACGGTGATCACGTGAACGCCCGGTCAGCCAACACCGAATGGAGAAACTCATGACGTCATCGTTCAATTTCGCTCTGAGAAGTAAAAACAAGCAAAACGTGAGAATGACGTAGTCATGCCTCTGACGTAGTGGCTCAATGTCGGCTGCTCCAACTCCGTGGCATTGACTGCGCTGATGATTGCGCCTTGCGCCGCACGCTAGAGTTGGCAGATTTCGGCGACTTGGCTCGCTTGAAGGTTTGCTGGCCAGTTTATTAAATATATAAACGGAATTAGATCGTAATATTTGACATGGGGTCTTCCTATATGATACTGAAGAGGGCTACGTAGTTTTCTAAATATCAAAAATGAAGCGGAGTTGCCCTTTAAAGGAGCCAACGTTTACCAAGTTTACCAACGTCAGGGGGGTAAAGGTGGGTGAGGAGGAGTGGCAAATCCCGTGCGCCGACACCCGGGGTCCCGAGTGAAAGATCGCAAAAGAGAGCGACAGAACACGAGAGAAAGAAAGCAACGTTGCCAGCTGAAGGACGACAGTCGCAATGGTAAACGCGAAGACTGAAAACTATCAGCAATATAAACAGTGATAATTTAACGTAGTAAACTAAATTCTGAGCTATTCCCTTCTGTCGAAATCTCGGAAATCTGGTGGTTGCGCGGTTTCGTATTCCTCAACCGCGCCCACCCGCGCCCCACCGGCGAACCCGGGTATCTGGTTTAGTTTAGCGTTGACGCGAGGCCGTACATCTGCGTGCTATGCAAAAAGAAAGCTTCGAAAGGAACGCGAATATCTTTCCACCGGTAAGTTCGTGGACTGTTGAAGTCCATGAAACTGCTCTGGTGATATAATTATATTCGTGAAATCGAAGGGGCAATTGGTAACCATGTGTGGGGCCCCGAGGGTCTGCCTGCATGCTCCGCCGCTTGCGGCAGCCAGAATGCATGGGAAAATGGCGGACCTTTTCCTCTAGAGGGAGTATGTATGATCTCTATGGCCAATGTAAGTGCTCACGCTGCAATCCTCAATCCGAGTAATCCGTAAAGTAGGGTGACCAGACGTTCCGTTTTGGCCGAGATAGTCCCGTTTTTAAGGTCCGCTTCTGCCATCCTGTCTTTCTGTCCCAATAAAAAATTATGTCCCGTTTTCGGGACATTATTTTTTTTATTTATTTAAGTGCGCAGACATTCACAACCTAGTCTTGTAGGATGAAGTCCTGCATAGGAAACTTCTGTCGTCGGCAAAATACGCCCACACCAACGAAGGACGCGAAGCAGTGTGACTGTTCACTAGACCCTAGGGCTTAGTGCGATATGGTAACGTTTTGAAATGAGAGCAGTTATTTCATTAAATTTTTTCTCCCAATCTCAATCTTTACCGCCGTTTAGTATGAATTGTCATGCCCAATGAAGGAGACACTGCTGCAGGTGCCCAAAAGCTTCCTCAGCCTCCAAACTCCCTGCAGCTGGACTCTCTGACAATAGAGGAAAACAGGAGGAACAGCGAGGCATTCTGACGGCTTTCCGGTGGTAGATGCTGCACTAAAAACAGAAAATGTGAAACTGTGGAGGTTGACAGTTTGCGTGATTAATGCTTCTGGTATTTTAGCTTCCAGGACAATTTGATTTATCTAAAATCTAAATTTTAGAGCCTAAGGGACTAATAACGGGCTAGACAACTTTACCTGTTTGGTGTACATTACTTGAGTGATATTATAAAGAAGTCTACAGATAGCACCAGTCGAGTCCATTGAAATACTATCCAAATCCAGTGAAGGTCGAATGCGAGCAATATAAACAGATATAACCAATTAACTGTATATGACTGTGTTCGTTCTTTCTTTACTTTATCCCTGTACTTGCGCAGTCTCATCTGTGATTCTCTCTACATGGCCCAGACCGAGCAGCACGCTGCTTTTCTGCTTCTGCGTTTTGGTTTAAATACAGAGATACAAAAAAAAACAACACGAAAATTGTATACATAACCTCCCATTTCATTCCGACCATCAGCAGCATTGATTGTGTGAGATGTAAATATATAGGGATGCTATATTTCTAGTGGCTATATTTCTTCATTTTCATATACCAGCTGCGATTCATGCGTTGCCTGCCTTGTCAGCCATGCCTGAAATGTTGGTTGAAGTTTCACCTGCAGCTACAGGCCCTACCTCGATAAAGCCACATATAGAAACGAGCGCGCCGAAAGCTAAAGTCGTCACAGCCTCCGCAGGGCGAGCGGAGCGAGTCCGGCAAAAATTTTGTCCTCGCCGTGACGTCACCCCGATTCGCCGTAAGGGCGCGCCATGCAAACTTCTCGGGGTTACATCGGAGCTGCACGCACCGGTATTTACGCGCACCCCCGCAGCCCCCTTTCCACCCCATAGTTTTATCAATTCTATAGCTAGCGCAGCATGGTATCGTTGGCCACGCGCTCCGCTGTTCGCATTTCATTAATAATCGATGGTACGCCTACGATCCCCGTTGTTCAAACGTGCAAGACACGGGGCATATGGGCAACCTTTGTAAAGAAAACATATAGCCATAGCCTCCTATACATATTGACAAAGCCTAGCAGAGAAGCGGCCGCCTTTTCCATTTCGGCGGCCACGAGAAGCGGCCGCCGAAATGGAAAAGGTGGAGTGGTAGAGGACGGATGAGAGGAGAGCCACGTGACTGGCGCCCTGCTGCGGAGAGACGCCGCAACACACTTCTCCCGAGTGAACAAGTGTGCTTCGGGTCCTCGCCGCTGCAAAAGCTGTGCGCTGACGTCCAGGTTCCCCGAGAAATGGCTCTTTGATGCTCTGCGCTACCAGATCCTCTCGCTCCAAATCTGCGACCGGGCACTCCATGGCTTCGTCGTCGAACTGCCAGGCTTTGTGAGAAAGGGGAGGCTATAGGCACTGACAGAATGAGGACAGCAGGGCGTATCTTTCGGATGCCGCGGCAGCCAGCACTCGCCCGTTGCCTCCCGGCGCGCCCTTTTGACTGGGTCTACACGCCCGAGGCGCTATCGAAGGTGAGAAGTTTGGGCTGGTAGTGGGGTACAACTGCAGGGCACCCCATGCCGTTCTAATCTCGTAAATATTTATTAAAAAAAAAAACGCACAAGAAAACAAAATTTGTAAGATAGAATCTTTTACGTCAAACTTGGACGAATAATGAGGGAGTAGAAGGTGCAGTTTAAGTCGCTTTCGCTGATGTAAGTCTGAGTCGTTTGGGTCAGGAGCACAGTGTAGGTAGTCACGGCACCCATCATCTGAAATAGAAAACGAAGCGCAAGCTTGTCGTGACCCTGTAACTTACTGGAGGGGGTAGACGAGAGAGAAACCGGTAGTGATTTTCCTGTTCCTCATATTCTTTGGATGTTAAATGTGATCGTCCTCAAACATAGCCTTAAAGGAGCTGTGCAACGATATTCAGTTAGAATGCTTTTCACTATACACGAGCTTACTGGCACACCTGGGACTCATGGATGCTCACACGCAACGCCACTGGCAAAGAAACTCCTTTGTTGCGGTGTAATTTCAAGGACAAAAGCGATCATTTTCATTCAATCTCTCCTTTGCAAAACTTGATGACGTAACGTGGGGATCACAGTACACCCAAGTGACGATATTTGAATGAGGTTCATAGATTGGACCAGAGCATTGCGTGGGCACTCGACTTGGGCTCGTGATAATTGCTAGCTCGAGAAGCATTCGGGTAGTGACCCGTGTCCAATCGCTGCAATGACGACAACAGCCGAGCCATAACAATGTCTGGAACTCAGCGCGTGTCCTGCGCTTTGCCAACCCCAGCGCGTGGCTATGATCAACACTGGCGGCATATCATCGGCTCCAGATCACGTGGCCACTTGTTCTGGCTGCGAGTTGAGGGGGTAAATGCTGCTCGATTTTTTTTTAAATTTTTTTCTGGGACTTCTATTACGTGGGGTGAAAAACGAACGCGTGTTTCATAGGTCATTAACGTTAGGGATCCGTTTTAAACGGTATTTGCGCAAAGTACAAAAATTGTTTCATCGCTCCTTTAAGCGCCGCTCGCACATTTACAACCAAGTAGGACCGAGAGAGAGTAGAAACCGATTTTTAAGCCTCTTGCAACGGCGTAGGACCTGCTCCGCAGCAGCGCATCTCGTCCTACGCCGTCGCAAGAGGCCTAAAAACCTATCTTGTCTCTCTCGGATCTACTCGGTTGCAAGTGTGTGAACGGCACTTTAGATGGAAGCAGTGAGAAATCTCTGGCCCAAAAAAAGTGTTTTTCATGCCTGAACACATAATGAGTTTTGGACTGGGCATCTTTAGGTGCCATTCAAGGTAATAGGCTCTAGCCTGGGTTTTTGACCATCTCACTTCAGAGAACCCACGGAACGCTTCAAATTCCAGGAGCGAAACTCTTGTATGTAATTGCTTTTAGAACGGACATCAAAGTGGCCCCTCAAAACCAAATTCATTCCTCCGAAAGCCATTGATACTTGCCTTTGCCATCATGGGTGGATCAAAGTGAATGAAACCCAGAACGGAAAACTTGAAGTCTTCAGCTCGCAGGTCATACAAAAGCATGGCCAGCTTTGACGAAGAAAAAAAAAAGTAAAGACGGTTGAGGGTGTGTGTATACAGAAACAATGTGATCTATCAGTATGTGTCCCATGAATATATTCAAGTTGGTTTATCATAATCCTATTTGTGGCGTCAGAACTGACCGCATATTCGTGTATTTATTTGGCCAAGGACAGCCGCGACGCAGCAGAAAGGCCAGCGACCCATGAAGTGAAGGCCCACAGCGCCGCATGATAGTAGGGTGAAGATGCCATGACTATGGACAGGTGAGTAAATGGTAATATCTGCATCCAATCCCGACTCTCCTTAGACCGGTGTTATTCACCGATGAGTCATTTCAATTCGCAACATACGTCCTAGACACAACGCACACGTAAGACGGCGTCCACAGTCAAGTTTCGTCGACTAATCACTAAATATCAGCAGCATCCGTATCAGAGGGTCACAAAGTACGACCGTGACAAACAAATTCCAACTCCTATAGTTAATCAGCTTCGTTCTGACGGCTAGTCTGCTACGGCTACATGTTTTTGTACAGGTCACCAGGTGAGACTTACCTGTTCGACTAGGGCACCCGGTACTGTTCCCTCAAATTTGAAGCTCTGCACAACATGTCGAAGGTCCCTCACCTTGAAGAAAGCAGGATGGCAAAGTTGTTAACGTTTTGTACAGGAATTTTGAATTTTATTTTGTCACTTCATCACTTTCTCTATTTGGAAACACGCCATAAGTTGCTTCCTTTTTCTTTTTTCTTTCTTTTTTACGCTAACAAATTTTGAAAGTTAGCGAGTTGTTTCTCAATGTAAGCAAGGAATTGCTTGGGAGTGTTATGTCAGAGCAGCTGGTGGCAGTGAACGCGGTGTAACGCTGAGGCCAGCGAGCAGAACAGCGCAGAAAGAGACAAGGAACATGCACAACACACACGCGCCATGTGTCGTGCATGTTCCTTTTCTCTGTCCTTGTCTTTTTGTGCGCTGTTATGTTCACTATGTCATCATACTTGTCGCCTATCTTACCACACTACTGAGGCCAGTAAATGCACACTTTGTTAGAAATGCGACGCATAGCGAGCCGAAATTGAATCACATGTTACCTCGAGTATTCAGAAACACGCGTCCCGATCAAGCAGCTTCAGTCGGCCCCCATGCTGCGTGTGAAGCCATCGCGGCCAACCAAGCAACCACGGAACCGCTTTCGAACTGCGTCGTTGACAGCGCGGTGTGATGCGAACTTCACCTCAAGAACCGTAGTAAAAAAAAGTCCGGCTCCTCGCGGAGGTTTACTATTTTCTCCTTTTATGTATAGAATGGAGATATATGTAGGTGCGCTTTAGATTATATATATATATGTGTGTTATCTTATCAAGACGTACACGTTTCAAACACCAAAATAAGCGCTTCTTCCCCTGACAACCTAACCTTGTAAGAACTACTTCGCGTGGCGTATGAACACTGCGCAAAACTTCATTTTTCTTGAGGTGAAAACGTTCGTCTGCTTCTTGAGCAGAGGTTGCACTGACTTCAGATCACCGAGCTGTGATGGGCTCTGATGGAGGGATAGTAGGTAGACCTCAATGCTAGCTGCCTTGAGGTCTACCAATATCCTTCCAAGAGAGTAAATCAGGGCTCGGCGTTCTGAATTCACCGCCATTCGTGCTCAAAAAGCAGACGAACTTGCGCTGCGCAAAGAGACCGATGCCACCAAGCGAACTGCGCAGGCGCCCGCATTTCCGGAAGTATTGCCGCCGCCATGCTACTTGTAGTCATCGCTCTCCGGCTTCCCGGCTGAATAGCCCTGATTTGGGAGTAGTCAGGGAAGGCCTGCATTTTATAAAATTGTGTTGCTTGTGATACCTTAGTTTGTCACCAAGCACACACACAAAAAAAAAAAAAAAACAGTTCCAGTCTTTTGATCGCTTTAGAATTGTTTTGTAGTCTGCTTCGTCGCCGTCAGTTTCTTCATCTTCGTGAACGCGCGTGAACCCATTGCGTTCACGCGGTGGTCCCACTGCGACCCCGGGAAAAACAACGGTGCCACTACTCTCTCGAGCACTCCGGCTGCTCCGACGTCTCAATGAACTTGGAAGCAAGTGAACATCTACTTCAATGTCAAAGAGCAGAGAATCTGAGAGGGAGAGAAAGAGAAGTGTTGAAAAGAAAGGAAGCCTGGAGCAACAAAATTAGAGGGACCATCGGCTCGGTGTAGCACTGCGAAACAGCGTCAAACCTGTCGGTGGAACACTGACCTTTGTAGTGCTCCGCCTTGGGTATAACTTTTAACCGACAATAAAGTAAGATGAGCTAAACTGACATTCTCGGGGAGCGGTTTTCTAAAACTCGCTTTATTCTGGTTGACAGCCTTCGCGACAAAGTGCAGATGAACTGCAGGGAGATACCTGCACATAAAGAAGCAACTCGCATTTGTTAAAATGAACAAACCGTGCGAGATACATGAAAACTTCGGGTAGAGATGAGTTTTTGTGTTCAGCTTCTGTTCGGCTTTATTAAGTTTGCGCAAGTTTCGAACGGCAAGAGTTGCCCGACGGTAAATGTTTTTTTTTTTTTTTTTTTTTTTTTCTGCCGTCTCGATTGGTGTTAATACTAACTAGATCGATATAAAGCTAGCCAAAATCAGGTTGTGGCATAATAGCTCACCACGAGGTGGGTCAGGTTCGTTTGGTACCTTTTGGCGGTAAGTGTTGTACTTCTAAATTGCATTGTGCAATGTTTTCACGTTTTGTCAGAAAAAACAATTAAGACTGATTTCGAAAAAGCCGTTTTATTTCAAGTTATACATACCGAGAATCGCTGCTCTTTCTTTAGTGATCGTCCCGATTTTTTGAAGCACAGTTGTGCTCGAAACATGTCGTCGCAATAACAGTTGCAATGCCCAAAGCACATCGAGCAAAAATTGTCTTAAAAACGGCAGCCGCAAGGCAGTGCGGAGGTCCCAACGGATATACCGCTACGGAGCGAGTGCTCAGGGAGATTCCAACGTACGGAACACTTCGGCACGCCCTACTAAGTCTCGTGCCCTGTAATCTGACACTCTTTAGTTAGCGTGCAATGGGGGGAATATAAATTATGACGGAATTCACGAAACAAATAAAAAACGCTTTTTCCTGCCGCTCTTCCCAGCTCTCTTTACCTTTTTTAGACACTCTTTTCAAGGGCTGCTTTTTTTTTTCGGGAAGACGAAATTCGATGCCCTTTTGCCTGATGCTGTTATTGTAGCACCTTGGCCCAGAACCGTGAGTGCTCACCCGAAAATTTCCAAACGCCGGGCGTACAACACGCTATGACGCGCCCAGGAAACTGGGAAGAACTATAGGTACCAGAATGCACCGCGGCAGTGGTGGCGTCGCGCAACTCCTGGTGAAATCGGTCTGTTTGGCACCACGTCATTTTGTTCGACCGCACCGCCGTCTCCACACATCCGGCGTTTATTAATAAATAAATAAATAAAGGCGTGACCACCGCTTTCTGGAGCAGCTAGGGGCAAGCTCATGGTGTCGAAAAAAAAAGGTCCTTTACATCTGTTAAGATGACAACCTTTGAAAGGAGTGCACAGTAAAAACTACATACCTCTCGTTTGACCCAACTGTAGGCGAGGATAGGCAGCACAATGCTGCTCATGTGAATGATGGTCCATCCCAGAAAGAAGAGTCGAACTTCGAAGATGAACATCGTGTTAACGGTGACGTAGTACATGGCGATACAAATATCGATACTGCTGTACAGGTACGTGTAGATAAGTCCATAACTCAGCAGATTCTGTGCCTCTTCCGTGGTCTTCTTGACCTGATGGAGTAGCAGCCGACACTGGTCGAGAGCCCTAATCTTTCTGAAAAAAGAAACATTCGAACCTCTTGTACTGGCAAGACGTCGATGGGGTTATGAGCAAATTGTATCGTATAGTCGTTCCATTTTATTTCCCCGAAGCTAAGCTCCGAAAAGCTTAAAAGCAGCATCAAAGCGACAGGACCGCTACTATACTCCATTCACCCTCAGTTGAGACGAGTCATAACGCTTCTCTTTCGCCACGTGATCACGCTGTCGTCCATACCCACGCGCAGAGAGCCCGGTCAGGTGACAAGAGGGAGGCCGCGACTCCATTTTACTATAGGTGGCGCCACTCATTTTTCAAAATGGCGGTTGTGGTGAGGGTCGGAGATATGCGCCTGTGTACCAGATGCTGAGCCTGTCTGGCGTATACTGGCTCCACTGAGCGACTCTAATTATTCCGTTTATACGAGAAAGCTTGGATCTTATGTGCGCAGGTAAGCTCTTTATCCTGAAAACAAAAAGCGGAGTTTAGCCCGATATTTACACCAGAGGGCACGTTTTAATTCTGGAACGAAACCGAAAGTAACCTCTATTTTGGACATAATTTCTCGGTATAAGTGTTCATTTCAGATTCTTTCATAACTCAAGTTGTGTCTCAGAGCATAGTTATTGAACGAAAGAAGTTGCTCGCGGAAACTTTATTCTGTGACATACGTGTCCGATCCAGACACTTAAAAATATTTAGGCAAGTGCAGTGTCTCTTTAAAGAGTGTCCTTTAAAGACAGGGTCTTTCATGCACCTTAGAGGTATCATAGAATATTGTATTTGTCGCAAAAATAATCTGCTGATATTTGTGTCTCCTTGCTGCCTTTTCTCGCTCAGATAATTGTCATGTGAAATAACGAAGTGCGGGCCTTTGTGTATTTAGATGACTAATTGCTTTATCATTATTCCCAGCACAAAAATATCAGAATCAATCCGAATTTACAGAATATCGCCACGGGTGATGCGTTTAGATTAGGTTTACAAAATGTATAAGTTAAGAAACGCTGTTTTCACTAAAACAAACCATGGACGAAATCCGAGTCAGTCAGCAGATGTGTGTGCGTGTGTGTGTGTGTGTGTGTGTGTGTTTAAGGCAACGCGTGACACACACGACTTTATATTACATCCAGTGTTTGATGCTTGTCTCTCTTGATAACGATGTCAATATTTTTCCATATGCTAAGAAGAAAACAAAATGAGATCTTTCTGAAAATAGTTATGGTCAAATGGCGTATTTTTGTGATCCTGGCGTGTATTGTGATCGTGCCGCAATTTGCATTAATAATAATAATACAATTACGATATTTTAATACATAGTTTTTCAAGCTCTCATATAATTTGTTGCTTACGATCTAATTTCAAACAAGCAAACGAGTATGGCAATCAAAAGTGTGCAAATTATCATTACTGGTGCGAATTGCAGCATTTTTAACTAACAAGTTATAAAATAAAATTAGTCTAAAATCACTGAAAATATTCTAGCTAATCTCAGAAATCCACGTAAAATTATACTAATTGTGGGTAAAGTTTATGGTGCTATGAAAGTCGCGACTTTTGACAATAGACCAAACTCCAAAAGTCGCCGCTAATCATTCCGAATAATATGCCCCTTAAAAAAAAATGTTCTACCTTTTTTTTAATCATCAATTTTTTCAGAACATTTAGTTTCTTTCATTTTTATGCACCACCGTTTCGCCAATCTCAGCCTTTCCAATTCCAAGAAACGCCTACCCACTTGCACGTCTGCTCACTGCAGCACGTTTCGTTTGCGTTAGAAACCGGTAAAACAGTACTGTGCGTTTTCGGTTTCCGCAGTGCGCGTGCGCGGAGCCCAAAATCGCGGCCTTAAATTGGAGCATGCCGACGACGCGCATGCGCAGCGTAGGGCACGCAAGTCTATCTTAAACGCGCAGCGCATGCTTCTATATTCAATACTAAAACTCTCTACTCAGGTACGATCACATATGTCGGCTGCAGCATGCATTGGGACAGTGAAGAGTGTTGTTTGCATTCGGAAAAGGCTTTTTTAGAGCCATGATCGCGAGCAGTTCCGCCGTGCCCGCTGAGCAGGAGAATCGGGGGACCCTCACTAGAGCGCTTCCCGTTTCCGCCGCGGGAGGGCGAGCAACGAGCTTGGGACGCAAATAACTCAGTCTCAGCTATGGGATGAACGGAGTATAGGGCAAAATCAAACGGTATGACCACTTTGCCTTTCTTCGACAACATTCTACGCGACATATGTAGCCAGACTATCTTGGTCGCCGCCAATTTATGACATATTTCCAGGTGTACAAACTGGAGTGAAAGAGTTTTATGGCGCTGAAACGTATACTCTAACTGAGATTTCAGAGATGTTTGTGGCATAAGTTTGTCCTCAGTCCTCCGCTGGGGAATTCCAACGATACCAGAAGAAAAGGCTGGTGCCTCCCCCTCCCCCCCCCCCCTTAAAAAAGAAAAAAAGAAAACAGAGAAGAAAAGAAAAGTCGTCATACTAGCAGATGCCTTGCGGCGGTTTAGCCCTTCACGCACTAACCTTAATTTTTTTATGTACGTTATAGAGAGTATTGGTCCTGTTTAACCAACTTACACTAATACATGGCTATGGGTATAACTCCACGCTGGTCCCCAAACGTTCTTTATCCTTACAACAAAATAACAGTCTTGGGAGTATTTACTCTTGAAAAGAGGCGGTGCGGGAATTCAGCCTCCGCTCCAGCTGCACCTTCATGGCGCCGAGGTAGACGCGGATGGCCCTGGCGACGTAAGCCATCCATGTTCTAGAGATGAGGGCCATTCCGCAGATGAGTAGCATGCCGTACGTGCCATAGACTGCCGACACGTAATACAAGATGTCGGGGATCTTGACCAAACCCGCTGCCAAAGCAGTCCCATAGTCGCTGAGTGCGCCGAAGGCGAGGCTCCAGGCCAACATCACCATCTGGGAAGGAGGTCCTCTTGAGACACCAAGAAAACAGTTTCGAAACTTGAACTGCCTGAAATTAATATGCCGATCTCAACAGACGGCTTGGTTCAATACAAAATACGAGGTCTGCGCCACTGATCCCTATTGTAGTAAGCTGGATCCCGGATCGGGAGCACGTCGATGGCACCACCGGCGGCCATTGCTTGACACCATGGCATTAAACGCGTCTATGAGAAAAACATACGAAAGTAGGAATATTGAAGCTCGTACACTGTGCTCGAAGGCGAGTATTTTATGATGTGCTGCTATCATTATACCGGGTGTTTGGAGATCGAATCGGTATTTGTCAAGCGTTCCAACACCGATTAAAAAATCAAACGGCTGAGCTGGCAAGCTTGCTCTCGCAGAGGCGTAAACAGAGGAACTTGCCGTCAATAAGACTGTCCTCGGGAAAGCCCAAAAGTTGTTGAATGTCGAAAAAGGTTCATCTTGACCGCGGCTTTCCGGGAGTGAACGAATTTCGCGTAGCAAAGCCTTTGAGCTGGTCGTCTGCTAAACCTAACTTATCGAAACCACCACCGACTCCGCAGTAACTCATTGAGCTGCACTTCATTTTTCGCCCAGCGGAGTCACTCTCGACCGAAAAAACATTTATTAATAAGAACTGCGAGGGCTGTCAGTTTTAATGTTTGTTCGCAAGCTATTTGACAGGCTTCCCAAAAAAGCAGCCAAAAAAGTTTCAGTGCGGACGACAGCTTAGATTCGGGGGAAACGGCGCTTTTTCCTCGTTTTTCCCTTAGAGTCCCATGCATTTGTAGGGTGTCCAGCGATGGCTGCCGGTGGTGCCACTCGACCCCAACAAGACAAGCCTGGATCGTCTCGTGAACCGGTAGCGGTTAGAGATCGACCAGGTTCGACTTTTTCGAACTTTTTGTGAAAAGTTCGACAAAGGTTCGACTTAGGTTTGACTGCCATGCGCATGCGTGACAGGCTGGCCAGTTGGCTTCGGATTGGATGGTGATGGCTAAGGGATGAATTAAGGGCAGCACTGATTGGTTATTTCAGTTAATACAGTACAAAACTAAGTCATTAACTTCTTCAGTGATTAGAATTAGTTTCTTTTAATTGCAACTGTTCATATAATTAAAATAACCCTTTGCGTAAAAAAAAATCTCCAAACCTAGACATGCTTGTATCAAGGTCTGGCCACACTGTCCACAAAGTCAAACCGGTCGAATCTGGTTAAAAGCTCAAAGGTTCGTCGAACCGGTTCGAACTAGTCGAACCCCGAAAGTACAATCTCAAAATCCGGTTCGACGAAAGTTTGCGACACCCCCAACTGCAGTAGAGATCAGCGGTCTGCGCAAGATTTCATTTGTTAGTGGATCTCCGACGCACCCCAAGCGGCAAGCATGCAGAGGCTCGTCGCGAGACGCCGCAAAGTGGAAGACGCGTCCGTCTTGGCGTTACCACCTGCTAGCATTGCTCTCGTTGTGAGATGCTGCAAGACGTTCTGCAGGTGACCTTGACGCAAGTAGAGTGACTCTAGACCAGAGTGTCGAACCGATATTTTTATCGGTTCGGTTCAGGTTCGGGTTCACGGCTTTCGGTTCAGTTCCGGTTCAGTTCCGGGGCGCAAAAAATAACGGTTCAAACCGGTTCGAACCGGTTCGAACCGATTTGAACCGCTAAATTGAGAATATATTTTCCGCGTTGTTCTGTCAATAGGCACTATTTAGGCCATGAAACTAACTGCTGTAAACGATCTGATTTTTGCGAGGACCTATTTTTGAGAATTTCGCGAATCGCCTACAATTCGCGAAAAATGGGTCCCGCGAACGATTTCGGTAAAATGTAAACAGATTGAAATTTATATTGAGATTCCACCGCGTCGAGAAAATTACAACCCGCGAATTATTCCAAAACTTCAGCTTTGACCTAAATCGCGAAATATTGAGCCCACGAAAAATAAGTCGTTTGCAGTATATAGTTTTCTTTTTTTTATCGTTTGTTCAATTCAGTTTTATTTTCAGGTACCAAAATTATAAAATTATGTTATTTATTCCTACACAACACGAAAGGAAAATCTACATTAACATACAAAACGTCGTGTTTATACGACTCAACGTCCCCTCGTTTGCCAGAGTCACATACATTGTACCTGAATCGAAATGTTTTCGCGAAGGGAAGTAGGTTGCCTAAAATACCCGTGATTGGTACAACTTTGTATCGCAGTATTAGATGTTGAATCGTGGTTTTGCCCTTGAACTAAGGAATTAATTACAGTGAATAAAATCATGAAATGGGCACCTCGTCGCCATATATACCATAAAATGTGTTTTACGGAATATGTTTCACAATATATATATATATATGATGACGAGACGACTGAGCTTAAGGCAATATAATTTTCAAAATGTCACGAAAGTCACGGGACAAGTCCTTCCAGTCTATATTTTATAGAAACACTAAGCGACAATCGCAATGCTTGTTTTTCTAACTAGCATTGATTGCTCTCAGCACCATGATGCGGGCGACGAATCATGCGAAAAGGAGTGGCTGAAATTGTTCACTCTAATCTATGAGCACCTTCGTACTGAGATCGAATCTGACCTAAAACAGTGCTTACCCATGTGAACATTTTCTTATATTGGATAAACTGGCATAGCCTGGATGTTGATGTTTGCTCTTGACAAAATGCAAAATCAATTTCATTTGCAAATAAGCATCACCCTCGCTAATTAATGATTTTGTTAAATAGAACAAAGTGGGATTTCATGCTCTACTCAATTCGGAAGCTACTTAATTGGATACTTTCTGAGAGTTTAAGTGTGCAATCGTCATAGTTCCACCATTCGTTCCAGTAAAAAAAGGCGATAATAAAAACACATAGATAATAATCTTCTATATATCTGAGAAGTTATATATGCGTGAGGAACACAAATCGTTATTTAAATTAGCTTCAAAATATAAAAAAAAATATTTAAAGCTTTTCAAAATCACCTATAACGTGCCTATAGAGGATAAAAGCGCCGAAAAATATTTGCAGAACATCTTTCAGATATTTTAAAGGCGCATTTACTTAAATATCTTTGAGGTGAGGATCTTCTATTTATGCTGCCAAATCTTCAGACAGGAATTAAGTATATTTTTATTATCATCGATAAATTTGACTTTATGTAGTTCACATAACCACCTGAGACCGACACGGAAGGACGATACTCGAAAATACGCCAGCTGTTGAGTCTTCGGCAACGTGCTTTTGTTAGCTGTTTTGCAGTGTAAAATACTGGGTTGCAGGGTATGCCAAAAAACACTGTGGTCACATGATATATCGGAAGGCTAATACACGAAATGTGCAGAAATAAGGAGATGACACGCCATTTTTTCTAAATAATCCCTTACACAACCCTTTACTGCAAAAAGAAATTCATAGAAATGCATAAAATGATATTCCTAATTAAACATAAATTCCGCGCAGGGCAAAAGAAGGTTTTTTAGAATCCTAACATAAATCACTTTTGGGCATCAGCTTGCCTCAGCTCGACACGTCGCGAGATACTACCTCGGGAGGCTAATGTTATCTTAGGTTTTACGTGCACTTGTTTTGAGACCTTACTTCACGACTCCGTTCTTTATCAGTCATGTGCTCCAACATTTCATTAGGCTGCCGTATATCATCGCGAGACTGTATAAATACTACACAACTTTACACATTGGACGTCTACTGCTAGTGTTGCGAACGTCGCACTTCACCAGAAAGCTGAAGTATTTAACATGGTTTGCACGTGACGTAATCGCACTAGATACTGGTTGTCATTGCGAGTTGTTCTTGCTGAGAAAATCAAATCCGGTTTGGCAAAATGCACGCTGCAAAAGTTTCGCGCTCAGTGCAAGCTATGTATTTGAGATGCACACATTTTTCTTGTTGGTACATCGTCGTTAGGCACGGCTCGAGTATCTGGCACGACGAAAACGTGCTTTCTGGCAAGAGTGTTTTTACAAATAAAAGTTGTACCAACTACCCATCTGTCACTATCGTTTCCAGGCCACGCTTTCTAGTCTGCGCCGAAAATGTGGGGCAGAGGAATCTTTACGACATAGTATGCTTTAATACCACCCCCCTCCCCACTCCCTTTTTTTTTTAGTTGCTCCTCAAGATACTTTTTATTCATCAGGGATTGCCTGCTCCGTATTGAGTGGTGTTCACTCGACAATTATATTTGTGTCACTTGTTAACAGTAATTCTTCTTTGCTTTAACTTTGCACCAAACTGTGAAGGTTAAACAAAGTACAGGGCGGTCGAAACTTGGAGAACTTGAGAACGACACTCCTGTGAGACTTAGAGCGACTGCCAACGTTCGGCTATCCCCGTGAGGCCACTAGGATCTTTCTTCTCAGGTATCCCTCCCGTACACACTAATAGTTCCATGTAACGTCGCACTAATACGTCACATTTAGACCCCTTAACACTTCTATTCTCGGGACAACTTTCTGAGGCAGTTCAGCAATAACGAAAACATGTTTAAGAGCCTCAATGGTGTGCATACATGTAAAATGGGTCGTGCAGCATTTTTTTTTACACTAAGTTCAATAAATACCGCTAAGTTGTAATCCCTGACGTTGATAACTTGCAAAAGCATTCATTAGTTTGCCCCTCCGCGAAATGGCACACAGTCGAAAGAAAGAAATGAAACAGCTTTCCCCTCCTCAACTCGCAATTAGAACTATCAGCCACGTGATCTGATCCTAATATATACACCGTCAGTGTTTATCATAGTCATACGCAGGGTTGGCAAAGCAGAGAGCATGGGCTGATCTTCAGATATAATTTTAGTTGGGCTATAATGCCCGAGCCCCAATAAAGCGACAAACAGAAACAAACGACAGCGGCTAGCCTTAAACCAGAGTATTTCGCGATTTGACAGGCTTTGTAGAATAAAGAAGGATTTGCTCAAACATGAGTATCATGCACACGATGGTACCATTTGCAGGCTTGTAAACACTCGTGCCAACTTCGCGAGCACCGAA